ACAAGTCATGGTATACCTGAATAAATTGAGCATAATTATTTTACTTGCAGTTGTATTTTGTTCATATTTGCAGAGTTTAGCTAGAATGATATATAGAACTTGTAAATGTTGTTGAAATGAATAAAAATAATACAGAACTTATATTTTTGTGTTGGCTTCCTCCCATAACCCCAAAAAACTGTGTGCTGCGCAAGTATGAAAATGTTTCTAAAGCCATATTTTATATAAATACAGCAAATGAAAGAACTACAAAGTTAGAAATCTAAAGTAAATGACTTGAACACTGTTATGTGCATATAATTGCCTCATTATTTTGGGCAGGTGAAGTAGAGTCCATCTTTAAGCCATTTTGTTATAAAACTGCTGCGCAAATATGAAAATGTTTCTAAAGCAATATTTTATATAAATACAGTGAATGAAAGAACTCCATAGTCAGAAATCTAAAGTAAATGACTTGAACACTGTAATGTGTCTATAACTGCCTTGTTATTTTGGGCAGGTGAAGTAGAGTCCATATAAAAGCCATTTTGTAATAAGTGAAATGAAGTTATCAGATCAATGTTTTTATGTGTGAATTGTGTATGGATTCTGATTTTCAGCATATAACTATATCTAAGGGTAAGTAGAACTTGAATACTTAAAATTACAGTTAGCACAATGTTAGTGTATAGCAACAGACAGGTAACCTAGATCTAGGTCTGACTCTTGTCAGTCTAGAGTCTAGTCTGACAAAATTGGATTTTTAGGAAAAACATATTCTGCAAAACTAGAACTAGAGCTGAAAAAATTAAAGATGGGTATGTAAATATATTTTGAAATAAAAAATTAGATTTGTTTGCACATGCCATAAGAATGCTGTTATTAGTTGATCAAACTTAAAGGCAGGAAGATCGGGATGAAAAAATATAACAATGGTGGCAGCGTGACCTACATACAGTGACTACGTTCGGAGGGGTATAACTAATGTCGGAGTCAAAATATCCAAAAACAAATTTCATTTCCAATTACTTAAGATATGTCTGATCAGTAATCTACTCTCATCTAGAGGAATCTTTTAAAAAATCGAGATTCCAACGTATTTGAAACTAACCTTGATACAGAGGGAAGGCCAAAGCAGAGACAGCATGCAATCAGGTCGCAAAGCCATTAAAACTAAGGGACAACCACTCTACTTTTTAATTAACCTTAGGAAATGACCTTTTAAACTTAATTAATTACCATAAATTAAAAACTTATTAGTATGCAAAACCAAATCTCGTGGGTCCGGTATCAGAAAGTAATGGGCGATTTCGGGTCATGTTTTTACCGCGAACTCGGCGGATGCCGACAACCCTAATTGATGTTTTGAAAAATACAAAAATGTTTCCTTGTTTCATTTACCTATGTACTATGTACTATGTACCTGTGTTAAACAATTGAATTAAAACTTTTCAGTAATAAATGAAGACTAGCGATGTTTCCAACAGATGCAACCATGCTCATAAAAAGACATTTACTATAGCAGCCAACATGTTTTTTTATTGTAAATTTATAACGCAAGATTCAGATGTAAAAATAGGTCTAAATTTATTGAATTAAGGAAATGTTTAAATTTAATGTAACGTAACGTTTGATTAAAACTAAACTATAGAAGTTGGAAAAAACACCCTTTGAAATTGAACTTAAGAAATGGGAGAAAATATAATTCTGCAGTTGTAGGGCCTACTCTGAATCAAATATATATTATATTATTTTAAATGTTTTGTAGGTAACGTCCTGTCCCTTGGTTCCATCTTTGGCATTTTGCTTGGATTTCCAATGTACAGTCATACACAGTGGTATTAGACAACAGAACCATATTTTTTTAAATTTTTACAGTGAAATATAATTGTATTTTCCTAGGGTACAGTAACATGTCTTCTATTGCGGAGATCGGAAGAGTTTTACAGGATAAAACAGCTCCACTAAAAGACAGGTTTCGTGCTCTTTTTACCCTGAAAAATCTTGGTGGCAATGAAGCAGTGGAGGCTATTTCAGCTTGCTTTGATGATGAATCTGCCTTGCTAAAGCATGAACTAGCATATTGTTTGGGTCAGATGCAGAATGTGCATGCAATTCCATACCTGGTGCGCGTGCTGGAGGACAAGTCACAGGAAGCCATGGTACGACATGAAGCAGGTTTGTCTCAAGCTTTTAACTAGTGTAGTAGTAGACTATTGTACACCCTTTACATTGTTAGGTCATTTAGAAAGTCTGCTGTGTTAAGTTTAAATGTACATAGCTATTAAGATATAATGTTTGAAAGAGCATTCTGCTAATAAAAGAGTTTTGCAGGTGAAGCATTGGGTGCTATAGGGGACAACTCGGCCCTCCAGGTGCTTCAAGTGTTTGCTAAAGACCCAGTGGTGGAAGTAAGTGTTAGAAAGTTCCAGTAACACCCAGTCATTCACCACTCAATCATCAACCCAATCATTCAACACCAAGTTCTAAAACAACCATCCAATCATTCTTCACTGAATCATCAACCCACATTAGGGAAAATAAAGGGAGCTGGACATAGTGCTGACCACACTTTCTCGTCATATGCCAAGGTCACTGAAGCAAGTAAACTTTACTCCACTTGCCCCATGGACTATTAATTCAAAAGTGAACTTTATAAAAGATGGATTTGAATATTTAGCATTTGACCTAATGAAAATGTTGTCGTATATGTTGTCTTTTATTGTTTAATGTGAAAAGACCTGTTGGTATAATAATTTATTAAAATCTCCCTATGTAGTTTTTTATGGGTCACTCTGATGTAATTTTGCAGGTGGCTGAAACATGTCAGCTGGCAATAGGGCGTTTGAAGTGGTTGAGAGAACAGTCAAGCGCAGAAACAGATTTGCCTGCCAATCCTTATTGTTCCGTTGATCCAGCCCCACCTACACAGCTGGCCTCGCTAGAAGACCTAAGACGGGACCTGCTAGACGAGGACTTGCCACTGTTTCACAGATATCGCTCTATGTTCACACTGAGAAATATGGGGACCACAGAATCAGTTCTAGCATTAGCCGAAGGTATTGTATTAATGGCTTGCTCAGTTCTTAAAAAACTTATGGCTTTATCCTGTACTAAACTACTTGTTATTTCTTAAACATTTATTGCTGTAATAGGCATTGAACACCATGCTTTCATGATACCATCTGGTAACCATGAGTGGTTTTAAGGATTCAAAAATTATTTCTTGAAACTAAAGTAATGTTAAAATATATGGGTCATTTTAACCCTTTTCCTTTTTAACCCTTTAAACCCCTGCTGTCCCTAGAAAATGATTTTGTGGTACAGTCTCGTGTGTCTGTATTTGTCTGCACTATGTATCTTGTGCTTATTTACAAATGGCAGCTGAATTCTCACGAGTAATGAGATTTTACAGATACCGGCTGTAAAAGAACGCAGTTTAAGGGACTTAGTTTAATTTGTTTTCTAGCTCTCAAATTTTTTTTAAAAAATAATATTGGAAGTGACATTTTGTTTAAATGGTTTTTTTTTGTGATTAATGTTGATTATTAGTATTATTAAGATATTAAGCTATTTAACCTCCTACGTAAAAAACTATGATGACCATTTTTTGTGTAATACTTTTTATTATATTTTTAATAATTATACGGATATTTTAAAATATTAATATATTTTCAAAAGTGCAGTGGTTAAAAAATCTTTTTTTCACCTGATCACAGGTAAGTAAATATGCCCCGGACTGTAAAGGGTTAAAAGTAGGACTAAAACAGTGTATTTTACTATTGCCAAGCAATATTTGTGATGCTAGATGTCAAATTGAGTCTCCTCCCTTCATGAGGTTATTGCTTGTTCCCCAGGGTTGAAGTGTAAAGGTGCTTTGTTCCGTCATGAAATCGCTTACGTCTTAGGCCAGATACAGAGCGATGCCTGCGTCAAGCAGCTGACACAAAACCTGGAGGACGCCAGCGAAAGCCCGATGGTTCGCCACGAGTGTGCCGAGGCTCTGGGCTCCATCGCCACACCCGAGGCCACAGCTGTCCTACACAGGTATTTAAAAGATGCAGAACGAGTGGTCAGGGAAAGTGCCGTTGTGGCTTTAGACATGAGTGAGTATGAAAACAGTGACCAGTTTCAGTACGCTGACACGCTCAATAAAATTTCTAGTGGAGTCAGCAATCAACCAGAGGCTGTAGAAACGTAACAGTCAACAGAAATACTATTGTAAAAAACACAACAGTCAACAGAAATACAATTGTAAAAAACACAACAGTCAACAGAAATACAATTGTAAAAAACACAACAGTCAACAGAAATACAATTGTAAAAAACACAACAGTCAACAGAAATACAATTGTAAAAAACACAACAGTCAACAGAAATACAATTGTAAAAAACATTTCATCTCGCTCAAGTCTGATAATGGTCACCTGGTAATAAAAGTTTCAATCTTTTTTTATTTTGTTTGTGAAGTTACTTCTTGTAGCCAGCTTTAGGAGTTGAACAAGTTTATGTTTTGATACAAACGTAACAATACACAAGCTTAACATTTGGATACAACTGTACATTGTGTTTTCCATACAGTAACACATTTCTCGGGTGAAAATGGTTTCAATGTCATTTTATTTCTGTTACAATAGACTTAAAACATTTGATTAATTTCATGCGATCATCTCCTGTCTATACCTCAATGTAATAGTCTAAATGTAATGGTCCCATGTGATGTCTAAATGTAATGGTCTGTCGTCCACTTGAAGCGCTCCACCAGGGGTGAACTGGGCAGGGAGACAGAAAGTTTGTTGGACCGTGTGTCCTGCATCAGTCTCCTCAACCTGGGGGACTTGGCTGGCTCGTTGAGGGAGTACGTGCTGCCCTCTAGGCTGCTCACATCTGAACAGGAACTGTGCATGGTGTAAATACATCTGGGGAGGGAGCAGGCAGGCAGGTGTTAGAGCGGACAGGCAGACAGGTGTTAGGGGAAACAGTATTAAAGGCTATACACTAGCAGCAACTATAGGAGCATGATTTTATCTCGTTTTATTTGAAGACAAAAATCAAAGAAAGATCTAAGATTTACATGAGCGATGGTTGAAGGGAGGTAACTCTACATAAACTTTTTTATACCTTAACTGAAGGATGCTCGCCCTTAGGTCCTTAAACTGTTTAAGAAGTGATTTGTCTTGTTCTTTCATCTGAAGCTGTGAAGTAAACCAAGCAGAGAATCGATTGCCGTGTTAAGAATAAAATAAGTATGTTGTTGTTAAATATAGAATATCTAAATACTAAAGAATAGGCTAATTTACTTTCGGTTTTAAATTAAAATTCAGATATTCTTGTCGTTAGGGGCTAAAAGATATAAACAAATAATGCTCGTTGAGGTCTAAGTTTAGTATCAAGTTTGACCTCGAACCCTCAAAGAAACCTAGTCTCAGAAAGTATGGCCGAAATAAAAGCTTGTAATGGAACAAATTTTAAAGCTTAATTAGATCTTTTTTTAATTTACCAACATAAAAAGAGGGGGGGGGGGGTTAATTAATTTAGTGCAAAGAAAATCTTGTTAGTATACAGTTTTAATTTGCACGACGTGATAGACTGGGATAATTTTACAGGTAGTAGGTATGCTACAGGTTGGGAGTGAGAGGAAGCAGTGGCGGATTAAAAAGGAGGGGGGGGGGGTTGATGGAGCAGCAACCCGAGGCCCACAATTTTTTTTTTAGGGTCAACCAAAACTCATGTAACCAGCCTGTACATTTCACTTCACTCCGGAATTGTTAATTTTATTACACATATCTAATTGCCCACAAAGTGATGATGTCTGTATCATTTTCTATCAAATTTAGAGAGATTTCCAGTGACCGGAAGTAGTACTTTTCTGTATTTCCGATTCCTAAAAAAATCACTTCAACTTGACTTTTTCAAACTTTTTACGTAGGTCAAGCTTCGATGACAATGCAATGAAACATAAAATGTGACTTAATAAGCTGTTTAATTAACTTTAAAAAAAAAATTCTCAATGTTTTCTTCTTAAATAAGTACTATTTTTCCGCTCAAGAATGATCAAAATGTTTACATACATTTGGAACGCAGTTTTTTTTTCTACTCAATTATATTCTATTTAAAAAAATTAAGTATTACAATTTTTAATTAAATTCATGTGAACAGTACTGAAAGTACTAACCAACCTCCTTACCAACATATACGAGAAAGTTGAGGGAAGATCGCTCCCATTTATTTTAATATACATTCACATATCTTTTCCAATACTGGTAATAGCAAAAAAAAATGTAAAATAAATAAATAATTCAAAGAACATCACCTGTGTCAGAGGCTGTTGTTGTTGATTGTATAAAAAAATTTTTTTGCAGAATGATACTTAACTATTTGAAATTTTTTTAAATCAATTTTACGTTTTTCCCAATAATGTATGGTATTGACTTATTTCAATGTTTGACCAGTATGCTGTTTCACCAGATTTTAGTACACTTGCTTTTCTACGTTTATTAAGGATTTTTAACCTTCCCATTCTGAATCAGTACAAAGTTTTAATACATTCTAAATCAGACCAAAGTTTTAATATATTCTCAATCAGCCCAAAGTTTTAATATATTCTAAATCAGTACAAAGTTTTAATATATTCTAAATCAGTACAAAGTTTTAATACATTCTCAATCAGCCCAAAGTTTTAATATATTCTGAATCAGTACAAAATTCTAATACATTCTAAATCAGCCCAAAGTTTTAATACATTCTAAATCAGTCAAAAGTTTTAATATACTCTGAATCAGTATAAAGTTTGATCTATACATATAATTCTCTACTTGGAGACGTTAGAAAACAAGCTGTAAGCGCGCCTAGCAGTCCTCTCTCTTCCTCTCTAGGCATATCGCAACCACCCTCACCCCACACAGTGTTTCTTCCAGACTTTTTTCTCCGGGGGGCACTTGAAATCTTCGGGGGGGGGGGCGGTAAACTTTCTTCGGGGGGGCGGACACTGTTAAAAGTATATATTTTCTATATGAATTACATAAATTTCATTTCGTTCGGGGGGGCGGTAAAAAATTTTCGGGGGGGCTAAGCCCCCCCGAAGAGATGCCTGGAAGAAACTCTGACCCCACATGGTCTGGTGAGCTGTGGTTCACGCTAAATGTTTACAATCGTAGAGCCGGCTTTAGTGACGCAGATAATTTAGTTTGAAACTATTTTAAACTTGGGGGGGGGGGGGGGTAACTAAGAGGAGGCTGCTTTCACGGGGTGGGAGGGGGGGGTTGGGGAAAAGGAGGGTTTTAGTGTTTTAAAGCAAAAAAAATTCAGTGACAGCCACGGTACTGTCGAATTCACAAATTTGAATTATTGAAAAGTAGAAAATAAAACTAAATAGCGGCGTGTGATACGCCGCGGGTCGGCTCGTATATTCTTAATCAGTACAAAGTTTTAATATATTCTGAATCAGTACAAAGTTTTAATACATTCTGAATCAGTACAAAGTTTTAATATATTCTGAATCAGTACAAAGTTTTAATATATTCTGAATCAGTACAAAGTTTTAATATATTCTGAATCAGTACAAAGTTTTAATACATTCTGAATCAGTACAAAGTTTTCTTTCTCTTTGCCCACTTTGAGACATTTGACTTAATTTATTTCTTGCAGTCAACAAGCGCATTCACGTTCAGTTATTCATCACATCCGCCATTGACGTCTGCAGGGTTTTGTAAGATTTATAGGATTTTTTTTTTCGTGCGGCGTCAAAACAGCCAATGACAAAACGGCCCCGTCAATAGGACCCCGACAAATCGGCCCCGATATAAGAGCCCCGTCAATAGGGCTCCGGTCAATAAGGCTCCCGACATATAGGCTCCCGTCATTTAGTTTCTCGGCAAAACGGCCCCCGTCATTACGACTCCCGACAAATAGGCTCCCGTCATTTTGGCTCACGACAAATAGGCTCCTGTCAATTTGGCTCCCGACTAAAGGACCACTGACAATAAGGTTTCGGTAGAGACTAAGTCTTCCGGCAAAACGGTCTCAGTGAATATGACACCTGCCAGTGGGACCCCTACATCAATATTCTTTAGAGTTAGCTTATCCAACACTCTTAAGTAATACAACAAATGCATCTCTTGTTCATCTATTATAAGCAATAGTATCTATGACTTCCATAGTCGGTTATAGGCTGTTCCAACTCAGTGTGTGGGGAGAGGGGTCCACGCTGTACATTCCTACCTCCGTATGCTTGTAGGTTATCAAAACAAAATGCCGTTATCCTGTAAACATTATGTATATCATACATGTACACTTCTGTGCTCGCTTTTAAGCAACAGATCTTTACTGTTATAAATTTAACATTATCAAATCTTAAGAATTGGTGGTATTTAGCTGTTTAGGGCTCGATTTGTTTGTGAATTGATGTTGGTTCATGAAAAACAATTTCATTCAGGCATTTAAAAGAGGTTATAGTGGTATTGGCGGTAGGATTAAATGGTTACCTTTAATTCAATAGTGGTCATGCCATTCATTTGTCTGGAGCCAATATGTCCTGAGTCATTTTGTCGGAAGCCAATATGTCGGGAGCCCAATTGTCGGGAGGCCATTTGTCGGTAGCCAATATGTCGTGAGCCCATTTGTCGTGAGCCGATATGTCGGGAGCCCCTTTGTCGGGAGCCCATTTATCGGGAGCCTAAATGTCGCGAGTCAATATAACGGGAGCCGATTTGACGGGAGCCAATAAGTCGGGGCCCTTTTGACTGGGCTATTTTGACTGGGTCGTTTTGTTGGGGGTCGATTTGACGGGGTCATATTAACGGGGACGATTTGATGGGGTCGATTTGTCCCGGGCCGTTTTGACATGACACCTTTTTAAAAAAAAATCACACTGGTGTTCCTTCGCCGATTGGTTACAATGGCTTAACGCATTGAAAATGTGGGGGGGGGGGGGGGAGAGAGTTTATTCTCCATTCAAATCTAGACCAATCATAAATTCATTAGTTTACGTTCCAAGAAATTAAAAAAGTAATAGCGACTGGGTATAGTGTTGGCCACAAGTGTTTCTTCCAGCCTTTTTTCTCCGGGGGTGCACTATAAATTTTCTTGAGGGCGGACAACAATTTCCGGTGGAGGGGGGGGGCGGACACGGTCATAATTATATATTTTCTATATAAATTCCATTTCTTTCGGGGGGGGGGGGGGGGGTAGACTTTCTTCGGAGGGCGGTGCCCCCCGAAGAGATGCCTGGAAGAAACTGTTGGCCACCCTATGTGGTATAGTGTTGGCCACCCTATGTGGTATAGTGTTGGCCAACCTATGGGGTATAGTGTTGGCCACCCTATGCGGTATAGTGTTGGCCACCCTATGCGGTATAGTGTTGGCCACCCTATGCGGTATAGTGTTGGCCACCCTATGTGGTATAGTGTTGGCCACCCTATGGGGTATAGTGTTGGCCAACCTATGGGGTATAGTGTTGGCCACCCTATGCGGTATAGTGTTGGCCACCCTATGCGGTATAGTGTTGGCCACCCTATGTGGTATAGTGTTGGCCACATTATGCTTTCGTATGGCTATGTCACAGAAACTGGTTAACTCTACTCCCATCACATTTACCGTCATGTTACTTTCTGTGTGTGGTTGAAAGTGTGTAGTTTTACACAGTTTTGCCGCTTCTCCACAATAGTATGTGTGTGTGTGTGTGTAGGCCTCCGCGGGGGGGGGGGGGGGGGGGGCACGCTTCTCCTGCTTGTGTCGGATCAGTGAACCGTGACAGATAAACGTGGGAAAAACAAAACCAGACGATGACACGCTGTCAAACCGTTGACGTCACGTTGCTAAGGGCAGTCACGTGGCGGTCATCTGGTGCTCTCCCCCCCCCCCCCCCCCCCCCCCCCCCCCCCCACGAGCGAGTCGTTAAACATATGGATTTGTGACACGCACGATTTCACGCTTGATTTCTTTCATTGATCTAGTTGACAGTCATAAATCGTCACAGTGCTGAACAAATCACTTACGGTTAACGCATCACTTCCTGCCATAGGTAACCCGTCCTTTCATGTCAAGCCTAACCCTAATCCTTACAATCATTACCAAAATAATTTTGACTACAATATAATTAGGGCCTGATAATACACATTATTCCTAAGACGCAAATAATCTAGCCCTAACCCCAAAACTGACCCCAAAACTTGTCCTAGCCCCAAAACTTGTCCTAACCCCAAAACTTGTCCTAACCCCAAAACTTGTCCTAACCCCAAAACTTGTCCTAACCCCAAAACTTGTCCTAACCCCAAAACTTGTCCTAAGTCCTAGCCCCAAAACTTGTCTTAGCCCCAAAACTTGTCCTAGCCCCAAAACTTGTCCTAACCCCAAAACTAGCCCTAGCCCCAAAACTTGTCCTAGCCCCAAAACTTGTCCTAACCCCAAAACTAGCCCTAGCCCCAAAACTTGTCCTAACCCCAAAACTTGTCCTAACCCCAAAACTTGTCCTAACCCCAAAACTTGTCCTAACCCCAAAACTTGTCCTAAGTCCTAGCCCCAAAACTTGTCTTAGCCCCAAAACTTGTCCTAGCCCCAAAACTTGTCCTAACCCCAAAACTAGCCCTAGCCCCAAAACTTGTCCTAGCCCCAAAACTTGTCTTAGCCCCAAAACTTGTCCTAGCCCCAAAACTTGTCCTAACCCCAAAACTAGCCCTAGCCCCAAAACTTGTCCTAGCCCCAAAACTTGTCCTAACCCCAAAACTAGCCCTAGCCCCAAAACTTGTCCTAGCCCCAAAACTTGTCCTAGCCCCAAAACTTGTCCTAACCCCAAAACTTGTCCTAGCCCCAAAACTTGTCCTAGCCCCAAAACTTGCCCTAACCCCAAAACTTGTCCTAGCCCCAAAACTTGTCCTAACCCCAAAACTAGCCCTAGCCCCAAAACTTGTCCTAATCCCAAAACTTGTCCTAGCCCCAAAACTTGTCCTAACCCCAAAACTTGTCCTAAGTCCTAACCCCAAAACTTGTCCTAGCCCCAAAACTTGTCCTAGCCCCAAAACTTGTCCTAACCCCAAAACTTGTCCTAGCCCCAAAACTTGTCCTAACCCCAAAACTTGTCCTAACCCCAAAACTTGTCCTAGCCCCAAAACTTGTCCTAACCCCAAAACTTGTCCTAACCCCAAAACTTGTCCTAAGTCCTAGCCCCAAAACTTGTCCTAACCCCAAAACTTGTCCTAGCCCCAAAACTTGTCCTAACCCCAAAACTTGTCCTAACCCCAAAACTTGTCCTAGCCCCAAAACTTGTCCTAACCCCAAAATTTGTCCTAGCCCCAAAACTTGTCCTAGCCCCAAAACTTGTCCTAACCCCAAAACTAACCCCAAAACTTGTCCTAAGTCCTAGCCCCAAAACTTGTCCTAGCCCCAAAACTTGTCCTCCTAGCCCCAAAACTTGTCCTAACCCCAAAACTTGTCCTAGCCCCCAAAACTTGTCCTAGCCCCAAAACTTGTCCTAACCCCAAAACTTGTCCTAGCCCCCAAAACTTGTCCTAGCCCCAAAACTTGTCCTAGCCCCAAAACTTGTCCTCCTAGCCCCAAAACTTTCCTAACCCCAAAACTTGTCCTAGCCCCCAAAACTTGTCCTAGCCCCCAAAACTTGTCCTAGCCCCAAAACTTGTCCTAGCCCCAAAACTTGTCCTAACCCCAAAACTTGTCCTAGCCCCAAAACTTGTCCTAGCCCCCAAAACTTGTCCTAGCCCCAAAACTTGTCCTAACCCCAAAACTTGTCCTAAACCCAAAACTTGTCCTAACCCCAAAACTTGTCCTAGCCCCAAAACTTGTCCTAACCCCAAAACTAACCCCAAAACTTGTCCTAAGTCCTAGCCCCAAAACTTGTCCTAGCCCCAAAACTTGTCCTCCTAGCCCCAAAACTTGTCCTAACCCCAAAACTTGTCCTAGCCCCAAAACTTGTCCTAGCCCCAAAACTTGTCCTAACCCCAAAACTTGTCCTAAGTCCTAGCCCCAAAACTTGTCCTAACCCCAAAACTTGTCCTCCTAGCCCCAAAACTTGTCCTAACCCCAAAACTTGTCCTAACCCCAAAACTTGTCCTAGCCCCAAAACTTGTCCTAGCCCCAAAACTTGTCCTAACCCCAAAACTTGTCCTAACCCCAAAACTTGTCCTAAGTCCTAGCCCCAAAACTTGTCCTTACCCCAAAACTTGTCCTAAACCCAAAACTTGTCCTAGCCCCAAAACTTGTCCTAACCCCAAAACTTGTCCTAACCCCAAAACTTGTCCTAAACCCAAAACTTGCCCTAGCCCCAAAACTTGTCCTAGCCCCAAAACTTGCCCTAGCCCCAAAACTTGTCCTAGCCCCAAAACTTGTCCTAAGTCCTAGCCCCAAAACGTGTCCTAAGTCCTAGCCCCAAAACTTGTCCTTACCCCAAAACTTGTCCTAAACCCAAAACTTGTCCTAGCCCCAAAACTTGTCCTAACCCCAAAACTTGTCCTAACCCCAAAACTTGTCCTAAACCCAAAACTTGCCCTAGCCCCAAAACTTGTCCTAGCCTCAAAACTTGTCCTAACCCCAAAACTTGTCCTAGTCCCAAAACTTGTCCTAACCCCAAAACTTGTCCTAGTCCCAAAACTTGTCCTAACCCCAAAACTTGTCCTAGCCCCAAAACTTGTCCTAACCCCAAAACTTGTCCTAACCCCAAAACTTGTCCTAGCCCCAAAACTTGTCCTAGCCCCAAAACTTGTCCTAGCCCCAAAACTGACCCCAAAACTTGTCCTAACCTCAAAACTTGTCCTAACCCCAAAACTTGCCCTAACCCCAAAACTTGTCCTAACCCCAAAACTTGTCCTAGCCCCAAAACTTGTCCTAACCCCAAAACTTTTCCTAGCCCCAAAACTTGCCCTAACCCCAAAACTTGTCCTAACCCCAAAACTTGTCCTAGCCCCAAAACTTGTCCTAACCCCAACACTTTTCCTAGCACCAAAACTTGTCCTAACCCCAAAACTTGTCCTAGCCCCAAAACTTGTCCTAACCCCAAAACTTGTCCTAGCCCCAAAACTTGCCCTAACCCCAAAACTTGTCCTAACCCCAAAACTTGTCCTAGCCCCAAAACTTGTCCTAACCCCAACACTTTTCCTAGCACCAAAACTTGCCCTAACCCCAAAACTTGCCCTAGCCCCAAAACTTGCCCTAGCCCCCAAAACTTGTCCTAACCCCAAAACTTGTCCTAGCCCCAAAACTGACCCCAAAACTTGCCCTAGCCCCAAAACTTGCCCTAGCCCCAAAACTTCTCCTAGCCCCAAAACTTGTCCTAACCCCAAAACTGACCCCAAAACTTGTCCTAACCCCAAAACTTGTCCTAACCCCAAAACTTGCCCTAACCCCAAAACTTGTCCTAGCCCCAAAACTTGCCCTAACCCCAAAACTTGTCTTAGCCCCAAAACTTGTCCTAGCCCCAAAACATGTCCTAGCCCCAAAACTTGTCCTAGCCCCAAAACTTGTCTTAGCCCCAAAACTTGTCCTAGCCCCAAAACATGTCCTAGCCCCAAAACTTGTCTTAGCCCCAAAACTTGTCCTAACCCCAAAACTTGTCCTAGCCCCAAAACATGTCTTAGCCCCAAAACTTGTCCTAGCCCCAAAACATGTCTTAGCCCCATAACTTGTCTTAGCCCTACTTGTTTGACGACACAGTAATGGCGTCTGGTACCCTATAACGGAATAGGACCAACTGTACTTACAATCTCTTGGCGGATCCACTTCAGGGCCGTGGTCAAATCTTCTTCCCTTGACCACGTGTCTTCCTCAGAGGACGTGACGTCACAGCCTAGACCATCACGTGACTCACAGAGACGGACCTGGTAGCGGAAGGGCAGTGGGATCGAGTCTGTCTGGTCAGTAGCTGGTAGGTCACGTGATCTGCTGACGTCAGCAGGTCCCTCCACTCTGAGACTGGGCACAGAAAATACTTTCGGCGACAGCAGCAGAGTGTGGGGCCTTTGGCTGCACTCTTTAGCGTTGAGAGTCGTTGCCATGGTAATCAGCAGAAATGTGATGGTCTCTTCTGTCAGATGGCCCACAAAGTGATGGTGTCTGATGGCCCACAAAGTGATGGTGTCTGATGGCCCACAAAGTGATGGTGTCTGATGGCCCACAAAGTGATGGTGTCTGATGGCCCACAAAGTGATGGTGTCTGATGGCCCACAAAGTGATGGTGTCTGATGGCCCACAAAGTGATGGTGTCAGATGGCCCACAAAGTGATGGTGTCAGATGGCCCACAAGGTGATGGTGTCTGATGGCCCACAGATCAGGGTGTATTAAACTTCCATCTTATTGGCGCTCTAGTATTAAAAGTTGAAGTTAAACAAAAAAAATGGCGGGAGACGTTGCAGCTAGTGCACGCGTCAAACCTCCCAGAAAAACACAAACAGAAAATTTTAAACTGCTGAACATGTGCCACACATGTGGACGTCGTTTCACCACCAAGCAATTCGCGCTCCCAAAATTAAAAAAAAAAAAAAAGACGAAACTAGCTCAGTCTCCGCTAATCGCTGTCATCTGCCCAATGTTTGCTTGTCTGGTCAGTATTTTCTGGACGCTCCGTGCTAATTCCAGATGGCCAGGTGATCTTAAATCTCACGGCAAATATTTGTTCCGGTCTAGCTTCCAGCAAAAGATGACGTCATCCAGTCGACTGTTGTACACACAGTGCCAACACCAGGCCCTAGCACGTGTAGTTACTGGTCACGGACGATCATGTCACATGTATTGCAGATAGCATGTCTGAAAAGACAGAATTAAGCTTGATAGACCGCATTTTTTTGGACTTGGACAGTAATGATTGGGCTCTTAATATGGTCTCTATGTTTATGTGTTTTTAATATGGTCTGTATGTTTATATGTTTTTAATATGGTCTCTATGTTTATGTGTTTTTAATATGGTCTCTATGTTTATGTGTTTTTAATATGGTCTCTATGTTTATATGTTTTTAATATGGTCTCTATGTTTATGTGTTTTTAATATGGTCTCTATGTTTATGTGTTTTTAATATGGTCTCTATGTTTATGTGTTTTTAATATGGTCTCTATGTTTATGTGTTTTTAATATGGTCTCTATGTTTATGTGTTTTTAATATGGTCTGTATGTTTATATGTTTTTAATATGGTCTCTATGTTTATGTGTTTAATATGGTCTCTATGTTTATGTGTTTTTAATATGGTCTCTATGTTTATGTGTTTTTAATATGGTCGCTATGTTTATGTGTTTTTAATATGGTCTCTATGTTTATGTGTTTTTAATATGGTCTCTATGTTTATGTGTTTTTAATATGGTCTCTATGTTTATGTGTTTTTAATATGGTCTCTATGTTTATGTGTTTTTAATATGGTCTCTATGTTTATGTGTTTTTAATATGGTCTCTATGTTTATGTGTTTTTAATATGGTCTCTATGTTTATGTGTTTTTAATATGGTCTCTATGTTTATGTGTTTTTAATATGGTCTGTATGTTTATATGTTTTTAATATGGTCTCTATGTTTATGTGTTTTTAATATGGTCTCTATGTTTATGTGTTTTTAATATGGTCTCTATGTTTATGTGTTTTTAATATGGTCTCTATGTTTATGTGTTTTTAATATGGTCTCTATGTGTATGTGTTTTTAATATGGTCTCTATGTTTATGTGTTTTTAATATGGTCTCTATGTTTATATGTTTTTAATATGGTCTCTATGTTTATGTGTTTTTAATATGGTCTCTATGTTTATATGTGGGCTTTGTCGTCTGCGACATCTAACCTGTTTGCAGTGTTTCTTCCAGACTTTTTTTCTCCGGGAGGGCTTTTGAAATTTTCGGGGGGGGGGGGGGAGGGAGGGGGCGGACCCTAGTAAAAGTGCATGTTAACTATATAAAATCCATCTCATTTGGGGGGGGGGGGTGGTAGACTGTCACCAGTGTGTCAGCCATACACCAGTGTGACAGCCATACACCAGTGTGACAGCCATAGTGTGACAGCCATAGTGTGACAGCCATACATCAGTGTGACAGCCATACACCAGTGTGACAGCCATACACCAGTGTGACAGCCATACACCAGTGTGACAGCCATAGTGTGACAGCCATACACCAGTGTCTCAATCTAAAACTCACCTTATGCACTCAAACGCCAGGATTGGTAAGTCAACGAGAAATTATTGTGCTAGTTATCCCCCCTGCACTGCATTGAATTGTGTCTGCTGTCTTTAATTTTCTTGGAGCGTAGAACAATGGATGGGCTAGACTTGATCACTAGAACAATGGATGGTCTAGACTTGATCACCAGCTAAGGCCCAACGATTTCCGCCAACTGAAAGTGATCACTCGTTGGACGCCAACTGCAGTTTTGTCCCTTGTCTAATATAAATATGGGAGAAGCAGGTTACACCAAAGTGACCGCCCTTGAACTGCTCGATTTATGGGATTTACGGAGTAACAGGTAAATGGGTGCGTCATCAGACTTGTGTTCAATCAACAGGACCAATATTATGCAACCTTTAACCTTCGTTAATTTGAGGTTAAATATTGTGTGACCTTTAATCTTCGTTAGTTCAGTTAAATATCAGCGGTTCAATATTGTGTGTATTTTACCCTCCGTTATAACTGAGGTTGAATATTAGTATTAGGGGAAATATAATGCCTTCTCTTTGTGAATTTCTGCACTGAGTTTAGAGACGTTGTTAGGTGCATCAAACTCATTAACAGTCATTAATTCAAATGGAATAATAGGCCTATTTACATAGTACATTATTAAATGTTTCACCCCTAACCTGTTGGTTGATTGACACCCCACCACCCCCACACCCACCCCACCCCCCCCCCCCACCCCCACTCCCCGTTCTACGGATGGCAGGCTTATAAAATAAATGGGAGACACTTTCACAATAGCAGACCGGCGAAGTTCACCATCATGGCGTTGCGTGTAAACATCACATGATTTTGGTCACGTGTTTGCAGAGGTGTCGCGAGGCGGGGCGGGGGGTGCGGACCGCACCGGGTGACACCAGTTGTTGTTTTTTTTTTGGGGGGGGGGGGGTTGACACCAAGACAATAAAATTGCAAAATATATAGAATATGCTTTATGCCAAATGAATGATTAATTAAAGTTAAAAAGTATTTTAAATACAAATTGACGATCCCGACAAGGTTTGACACCATGACACAAAACTGCTAACTATATAGAAAATAATGCTATGTCCAAAGGTATTAATAACCGATTATAGATAAACACCTTTACTTTAAAAACTTAAAGCTATCATCAGGGGAGGGGTGGCACCAACTGCAAAATTTATAAAAGAAAAAAAAAAGTTCAGTTGATGTTTTCCATCGATGACCGCGGTGGGGTGACACACTTTTAAATAATTGACTATGAAAAGGTTACTTTTTTCCACTTGAATTAATATGTGCATTAAAATAATGTGTGTAGGGCCTACAAATATTAATATATACGCCATTTGGCAAAATGTGAGGGGGGTGACACCAATTACAATTATATATGTGGGCCTATGATACCCAACCTAGCCACGCCACTGTGTTTTTTTTTTAAAGTTATGACTTTACATTGTAGGGCCTAAAGTTTTCAAGACTGGAGGCCGTTTTTCTTAGTGTAAAGTGTAAGCCTAAGGCTAAACACTAAACGCTCAGTGACCAAAGGGACACTACTCTAGTAATTTTTATGAGAGGTAAGCACTTCCTGGTCAATTTAACACAACATTAGCTAAATGGACTAAAATAGTAAATACTGAAAAATACTAAAAACAGGACTAGATCTAGATCTAGTACTAGAATACAAGATTCTACAATCTAGGTTTCTAGACAATAATCTGGATTCTACTCTAGCGTCCTAGCCTCTACATCTAGAATTCTAGTATTCTAGATCTAAAATTCTAAATCTAGACTAGAAACTAAACTAGAAATCTACTCTAAAAAAAAGAATTAAAATAATCTAGATCTAGGCCCCATAAAAAATAATAAAAATACAAACTAGGCCTAGTAAAACAAAAAATAGTATTAGGGCCTAGTATTATTAATTAATATTATAACATTAGGAACCTACTGTGTTATAATTTTATTTTAGATTTTGAGCTTAGAAAAAAAAGTGTTTTGTAGTGTTCCAAAATCCAATTCTTGATGTCGATGGACGGATGGTACTGGTAGATTTCAAAATCACAGGTTAGCTGATATGATATTCCCGATAACTAAATCTAGAAGAAATCACTATCCAATTTATATGCCACTCCATGTTCACCTCCAGTCGAGCTTATTTTATTATTAAAAGTTACAACACAACAGTAACACTCACAGAACATTAGGAAAACACTAATTTAAAAACCTCATCACTTGTTTATTTTGTGTGACTGCAGTACCTGCGCTGAGACCCAGCAGCCAGCATGTATGAACCAAACTACGACATGAAAGCTGGAGTCTATCCAATCAAACAACAGTTTCTTATAGACGAACATGTGGAGCGGGCAGGAGTACAGGTGGCTGTTCTTTACATAGCTCATACAGCAGACATTTCACCAAACACATGGACAATTTCATGGCTCATACAGCAGACATTTCATCAAACACATGGACAATTTCATGGCTCATACAGCAGACATTTCACCAAACACATGGACTATTTCATGGCTCATACAGCAGACATTTCATCAAACACATGGACAATTTCATGGCTCATACAACAGATATTTCACCAAACACATGGACAATTTATTCCTATACAGTAGCCATTTACTGGGGTCAGCATGGTCGAATTGGTAAAGCTCATGAGTGCTAAACCAAAAAGTCACTAGTTCGAACCCCCCCCCCCCCCCCCCCCCCTGGAAGATGAGGCTCAATAGCTGGGGACAGCAACTCTTCTAGGAGAGACAACTCCAAAATCAAACAACTGCTGGCTTGTTCTTGGTTGGAAGAGGCTATGGAAGCAAACCCAGAAAGAAATGTTAAAGGGAATCCCTCCAATCAAGAACAAAGAAGAAGCGATTTATTCAGACAAATGGACAATTTATTCTCATAGTAGCAATTTTGTTCAAACATCCGACAACGTATTCCTATACAGTAGCAACTTTTTTTAAAACCTGAACATTTTATTTTCACTCAAAGATAAAGCATTTAATTCATTTATTCCTAGTAGAGCAGATTTTGTCTGAAATTTTTTTGCACTCAATTTTTCTCATTATGTCTCCTATTTCCATCTCTTGATCATTGAAATACTGATTGTGACATGATTTTATTGGATGGCTTCAGTTTGCTGGGGAAATTGACGGAGTCTCCCCTCACTTAGATATAACAAATAGAACAGATGTGCTGAAAATCATTGACAAAGGAAAGGTAAGCCACGTCTGATAAGTTTTCTGTCACCTAAACAATCACATACACAACTTGAAAATAAACTAAAATTTGGAACTTGATTATTTTTGGTATTTTGCCTCTTCAGAAACATGGCTTCATCCCTGGGCATTCCACAGTTGATTGTATACTTAGCCTCAGTGTCTTCAACTTGAAGATTTGTAAAAATCTGGCTAAAAAGGTAGAAATTTATTCACATCTTAGTGCATTTAACATGAAGATTTGTAAAAAGAAATGGTTGCCAAATGAATAAATTATTGTTGAAATAGGTTTTATTTACAAAATTAATTAATTGCTATAAAAACATAATTTCCTGTTATCTGACCAGGATCTTTTGCTGAGGATCCCAATGCACGAAATAGCAGCTACGTGTTACATCAAGGATGATAAAGAACACATACTGGCCATCAAATTTGGTACATTTTCTTATGTTTTGAGCCCATCACTCTAACCCTAAATGTAACATTGAACATCACCGTATCATCTTAGCAATAAAACATCATCTTATGAGTGTAGCTTCAACACATCACTATACGAGTGTAGCCCTACACCCTACTTTATGATCTCTGAGCTAAGACTATTTTATCTCTGAGCTAAGACTACTTTATCTCTGAGCTAAGACTACTTTATCTCTGAGCTAAGACTACTTTATCTCTGAGCTAAGACTACTTTATCTCTGAGCTAAGACTACTTTATCTCTGAGCTAAGACTACTTTATCTCTGAGCTAAGACTACTTTATCTCTGAGCTAAGACTACTTTATCTCTGAGCTAAGACTACTTTATCTCTGAGCTAAGACTACTTTATCTCTGAGCTAAGACTACTTTATCTCTGAGCTAAGACTACTTTATCTCTGAGCTAAGACTACTTTATCTCTGAGCTAAGACTACTTTATCTCTGAGCTAAGACTACTTTATCTCTGAGCTAAGACTCCTCACTTTACAGGAACAGCAGGAGCGTGTAAACTGGCGGTCATGTACTGTGACACAAAGGTAACTGCTTTGTTTTTGTCATGTGACACAAAGGTAACTGCTTTGTTTTTGTCATGTGACCCTGAGGTAACTGCTTTGTTTTTGTTATGTTTGCTGACTGGTTCATTAACACAAATAAATTTCCCACCCAGATTTTAGCAGAAGAAATCTGTAGCCTGGTTGGACAATGCTTCAATCTCATCTACACGGAGGCCTTGTTTCAGCTGCTGGACAGGCCTATACCAACTTCTGAACCAGCACTTAGCACATCAAGTGAAGGTAGGCTCTCATAGCACTTAGCACATCAAGTGAGGGTAGGCTCTCACAGCACTTAGCACATCAAGTGAAGGTAGGCTCTCATAGCACTTAGCACATCAAGTAAAGGTAGGCTCTCATAGCACTTAGCAAATCAAGTGAAGGTAGGCTCTATACAGCACTTAGCACATCAAATGAAGGTAGGCTCTCATAGCACTTAGCACATCAAGTGAAGGTAGGTTCTCATAGCACTTAGCACATCAAGTGAAGGTAGGCTCTCATAGCACTTAGCACATCAAGTGAAGGTAGGCTCTCACTGCACTTAGCACATCAAGTGAAGGTAGGCTCTCACAGCACTTAGCACACCAAGTGAAGGTAGGCTCTCACAGCACTTAGCACATCAAGTGAAGGTAGGCTCTCACAGCACTTAGCACACCAAGTGAAGGTAGGCTCTCACAGCACTTAGCACATCAAGTGAAGGTAGGCTCTCATAGCACTTAGCACATCAAGTGAAGGTAGGCTCTCACAGCACTTAGCACATCAAGTGAAGGTAGGCTCTCATAGCACTTAGCACATCAAGTGAAGGTAGGCTCTCACAGCACTTAGCACACCAAGTGAAGGTAGGCTCTCACAGCACTTAGCACATCAAGTGAAGGTAGGCTCTCATAGCACTTAGCACATCGAGTGAAGGTAGGCTCTCACAGCACTTAGCACATCAAGTGAAGGTAGGCTCTCATAGCACTTAGCACATCAAGTGAAGGTAGGCTCTCATAGCACTTAGCACATCAAGTGAAGGTAGGCTCTAGTTGACTGCTTTAGTCTCCCCTTCACTCAGTTGTCTGACTAATATTGTAATGGAAAGGGAAGGTACCCACGGAAATGGCCTTTAAGTTACTTCCCTTAAGTAAGATCTCAGCCACTGTTTGTTTCAATTTTGTTACCGCTTTGACAGCTTTATCAATTTGTTTACAAACATGTGAACAAAAACTTAAGCATAACAAAATCTTTTACTTTTCTGTTAGTTATTTTCTTTTGTGTTCAACTGTTTTCACTTTTCTATTTTAGGCACAACTATTATACCAGACATACCAGATCCATAGTAAGTACCAAGAAAGCTCTATGGTCTAATGTTTAGTCCACTGTTTGTTCTTTGTTTGACTGTTCTTTGTTTGACTGTTCTTTGTTTGTTTGACTGTTCTTTGTTTGACTGTTCTTTGTTTGTTTGAATGTTCTTTGTTTGACTGTTCTTTGTTTGTTTGACTGTTCTTTGTTTGACTGTTCTTTGTTTGACTGTTCTTTGTTTGTTTGACTGTTCTTTGTTTGACTGTTCTTTGTTTGACTGTTCTTTGTTTGACTGTTCTTTGTTTGTTTGACTGTTCTTTGTTTGACTGTTCTTTGTTTGTTTGACTGTTCTTTGTTTGACTGTTCTTTGTTTGACTGTTCTTTGTTTGACTGTTCTTTGTTTGAATGTTCTTTGTTTGACTGTTCTTTGTTTGACTGTTCTTTGTTTGACTGTTCTTTGTTTGACTGTTCTTTGTTTGACTGTTCTTTGTTTGACTGTTCTTTGTTTGACTGTTCTTTGTTTGTTTGACTGTTCTTTGTTTGACTGTTCTTTGTTTGACTGTTCTTTGTTTGTTTGACTGTTCTTTGTTTGACTGTTCTTTGTTTGTTTGACTGTTCTTTGTTTGACTGTTCTTTGTTTGACTGTTCTTTGTTTGACTGTTCTTTGTTTGACTGTTCTTTGTTTGACTGTTCTTTGTTTGACTGTTCTTTGTTTGACTGTTCTTTGTTTGACTGTTCTTTGTTTGACTGTTCTTTGTTTGACTGTTCTTTGTTTGGCTGTTCTTTGTTTGGCTGTTCTTTGTTTGACTGTTCTTTGTTTGGCTGTTCTTTGTTTGACTGTTCTTTGTTTGACTGTTCTTTGTTTGGCTGTTCTTTGTTTGACTGTTCTTTGTTTGACTGTTCTTTGTTTGACTGTTCTTTGTTTGACTGTTCTTTGTTTGGCTGTTCTTTGTTTGACAGTTCTTTGTTTGACTGTTCTTTGTTTGACTGTTCTTTGTTTGGCTGTTTATTCTTTGTTTGACTGTTCTATGTTTGACTGTTCTTTGTTTGACTGTTCCTTGTTTGTTTGGCTTTTCTTTGTTTAACTGTTCTTTGTTTGACTGTTCTTTGTTTGGCTGTTCTTTGTTTGACAGTTCTTTGTTTGACTGTTCTTTGTTTGACTGTTCTTTGTTTGGCTGTTTATTCTTTGTTTGGCTGTTTATTCTTTGTTTGACTGTTCTTTGTTTGACTGTTCTTTGTTTGACTGTTCTTTGTTTGACTGTTCTTTGTTTGACTGTTCTTTGTTTGACTGTTCTTTGTTTGACTGTTCTTTGTTTGACTGTTCTTTGTTTGACTGTTCTTTGTTTGACTGTTCTTTGTTTGACTGTTCTTTGTTTGACTGTTCTTTGTTTGACTGTTCTTTGTTTGACTGTTCTTTGTTTGACTGTTCTTTGTTTGACTGTTCTTTGTTTGACTGTTCTTTGTTTGACCGTTCTTTGTTTGACCGTTCTTTGTTTGACTGTTCTTTGTTTGACTGTTCTCTGTTTGGCCGTTCTTTGTTTGACTGTTCTTTGTTTGACTGTTCTTTGTTTGACTGTTCTTTGTTTGACTGTTCTTTGTTTGACTGTTCTTTGTTTGACTGTTCTTTGTTTGACTGTTCTTTGTTTGACTGTTCTTTGTTTGACCGTTCTTTGTTTGACTGTTCTTTGTTTGACTGTTCTCTGTTTGGCCGTTCTTTGTTTGACTGTTCTTTGTTTGACTGTTCTTTGTTTGACTGTTCTTTGTTTGACTGTTCTTTGTTTGACTGTTCTTTGTTTGACTGTTCTTTGTTTGACTGTTCTTTGTTTGACTGTTCTTTGTTTGACTGTTCTTTGTTTGACTGTTCTTTGTTTGGCTGTTCTTTGTTTGACTGTTCTTTGTTTGACCGTTCTTTGTTTGACTGTTCTTTGTTTGACTGTTCTTTGTTTGGCTGTTCTTTGTTTGACTGTTCTTTGTTTGACCGTTCTTTGTTTGACTGTTCTTTGTTTGACTGTTTAAAGCACCCCGAGACACGAGCGAGCAAGCAGCAGATCAGACGTGTCAAGAGCAAGTGGCAAAGAGCTTCTCGAAGATTACATGAACAAGGTCAGATAACACCTTTTTTCTACCTTCAGATAACAGATTTCTATCTTTCTGACCACTCAGGAGCTAAATGTCAGCTGTAGTTAACAAGTTCTAACAGGAGCTAAATATCAGCTGTAGTTAACAAGTTCTAACAGAAGCTAAATGTCAGCTGTAGTTTACAAGTTCTAACATCCTTTCAGCTGAAAGAAAAATTAAACCCAGATGAGCTGAGAAAATTTTTGCAACACCTCAACGACTGGAAGAGAGACAACCACTTTCATCAGTTCTGTGACGATGTCTTGCTGTTGCTGGGTCCCGACCGGAAGCAGCTGTTGTCTGGTAAACATCTCCTGTTTGTCAGTCTGTCTGTCTGTCTGTCCATCTGTCTGTGTGTCAGTTTTCAACACAAGATTTTACCAAATACATCTAACATGGGAGCTTGTCCTGTGCCTCTGTACAGTTTATTATTTTTATACATATACAAGGAATAAACTTCTGAGAATTTTAAAAAATGTATTATTATATCCTGGTGAACAGCATATCCCTGTTTTAAATCCCACTCTTTGTTTCCCCAGAATTGGTGCCATTTATCCCAGAGTACAACTATCCCTATTTTAAGGAGTTCCTACAGAGAAATGACATCAAGGAGTTGGACATCTCTAGTACATTGTCCAGTTCTAGAAACAACTTGCACTACTCCACGTGAGTACCCAGGCCTTTTGTGGGTGACCTGGTGGTAATTCTGGCTTTTTGTGTGTGAGGTGGTGGTAATTCTGGCTTTTTGTGGGTGAGGTGGTAATTCTCGCTTTTTGTGGGTGACGTGGTGGTAATTCTGGCTTTTTGTGGGTGACATGGTGGTAATTCTAGCTATTTGTGGTTGTGGTAATTCTGGCTTTTTGTGGTGGTGGTGGTAATTCTGGCTTTTTGTGGGTGAGGTGGTAATTCTGGCCTTTTGTGGGTGACATTGTATGCCAGCTATTATTAGCCCTTTGACCCCAGCTAACGAGGCTGCTATTTCCCCGGCAGGAGGAGATCTCTGAGTGAAGTTTCAACCACCAGCAGCATCAGCAACAACGCAGAGAGCGGCGACGCCCTGGACCACCTCTTGGATTTTGCTAAAGCTGAGTTTAACAGTGTGGACGTGGACCCAGAGCCTAAGTCCTACATGCCAAGTGCAGACTACTAGCTTCTCATGTACCAAGGGCAGACTACTAGCTTCTCATGTAGCAAGGGCAGACTACTAGCTTCTCATGTACCAAGGGCAGACAACTAGCATCTCAACTCAATATCTTGTCTTATCTTGTTTTATTTTTTTCAGCAAGAAAAAAAAATCAAATGTGGGTGGGGTTTTTGTGTTGTTTTTTTTTAACTGTAAAATAACCTGTAAATAAATAAAACTTATTTTTATATGAGAAATCTTTATTAGTTACTGTTTATCTGTACATAGTTATTTTTTTAGGCTTGAATTAATATAAGCCAACAATAGGTTTTTTTGTTTTTCCATATATAACTGAAGGGGGGGGGGGGGGTAATATATGGCAATTGTGTAGCTGAAGAGGGGGGTGGGGTGGGGAAAAGGCAATTGTGCAGCTCGCACAATCGATGACAGTTCAGTAGCTGTTGGAGATACTAAAAGGGATGGAAGAAATATTAAAAGCTTATTTCAAACAAACTTTTGACAGTAGTTGTATGGCAATAGAATAAATACCACTAAAAGCCACTGAACTCTAGAACCCTCTTTCACTTAAGTTACAAAGGATTTTATGATTTTAGTCTAATTTTATTTTACCTTTTTTAATTTAAGCTAACCATTAATCAAGCAAAGGTGGTACTTTTTTTTAAAAAAGGCCCATTAAACAGAAAATATTATTTTAAAATGTCATGCTAGAAATGGTTTATCTCAAGTTTGTAAGATGTTTAAAAAAAAGTTCATCTTTTATTAGGGGTCATCAATAAATGATGTCACGCTTTTTTGAGGATTTTTACCTCCCCCCTCACCGCCGTCACACATCGTCACAAAAAACCAGACCCCCCCCCCCCCCCCACTCTAAAATGACGTCACACCTCAGCCTACAACCCCCCTCAAAATTGCAATTGAATTTTTCTTAAAATACGGTATTTTTCCCAAAATCTTGTTTGAATTCTGTCAACATAGAGTATTTTCACCTAAATTCCTATTAGAATTTATTAAAACAGTTTTCTAAAACGCAAAATAACGTCTAAAATTCGTTTTCTAACATTGCGCTTTTGTAATGCAAAAGTTTGACGTCACACCATCTGATCCCTCCCCCTCATCACACAGTCACAAAATTACGGACCTTCCCCCTACGAGTGTGACTTCAATTATGGTCGACCCATTATTTGTTTAGAGTTAATATTAGAATCTAGATCTAGTACATTATTTAATTTTGCGAAAGATCCAATGGATTGGTAGAAAAACCTTGTCTAAAAATAGCAACTTAGTAATAGGCGGCACCTATCCGATGTAAACATCAACATTCAATAAAGAAATCGTGACTCAAACTAATCCTAACCTACGCACTAGTTACTTCAAGAAAACTAAGATTTAGATGTAGATCTATATATTACAGCTGTTTTAATCCGCAATTGCATGTTTGTTATATAGTAATTAGTATATATAGATCTAGATCTACTAAATGATTTTATAATATTACACATCATTAATAAAAGTAAATAAGTAGTCATTTTAAATACTAAAATAGGCCTACTACTAATAATAAATAATTAATGTCTGTTTAGGCCTATTATGTTTAAATAATTAAAAAAAAATTATTGAAATTAATACTCATCAACTTAACTCTTAAGTACTCTTACTCTTAAAGTAGTTAAAGTTTATAGAATCTAGTAAGTATTTTCTCTTACTCTTATATTAATATTATAAATAATTTAATAAATACTTTTACTTAGTAAACCTTAGACTTAATTTTAGTAATTATTTAATTAATTAATAGGGCCTAATATAATATAATTATTATACTATATTTACTATATTATTAATATTATCTATATGTCAATATATGAATATATAGTGGTTAATTAGTATAATGGATGATATTTATAATCGACCCTTTGAATCCCGGACAGATCGTCCCCGGCGGGCCTCAACCAACTGGCAGGCTTGTTGCATTGAGTTAAATATAAACTCAAAACAATAATATAAACTATCTCCTTGTAGTCATTTATTTTTGTAACTTTCACTGTGTATAATTTGATATTGCAGCTTAAAAAGAGCTTTTAATTTAATTTTTCTACCCTTTTTGGCGCCCCTTTGGAGTCTGCGCCCCCCCCCCCCCCCCACTAGAAATGTAAAAATAGAGTAGTTTCCCTTTGTAAGGAAGATAATCACCATGTTATAATTAATGGTACCGAAGTGGTTCAATTAAAAAGAAAATCTGAAAGTGTAAAAATACTCCTAAATTTAGTTTTAGAAATGATTGGCTTGATGTGTTTTTGAAGAAGTCTGTGGGAGAAACAGGAACTTTATGGTTGGTGGAGGCAGATGGTGACACATTGGTCACAGCTTTTTAGGAGGGGTGGGAGGATTTGATCAAATGTGACACTCTGTATGGAGAAGGACTGCACTGTTGATCCGTTGTAGTAGAAGCATATACATTATATAAGCCTGCACAAACATGAACATTTTTTTTTCCCAGATCCATTATGTCAACATAACGATGACTTTGTTTTACTAGATCTATGAAGTCACATACATTCCAAGATGACCATTGGTTGGAAAACACTGGATGTAGGAGAAAAGGTAGATAACTCTCACATTAAGTTACATTACTCCACATTGTTTGCTTTAAAGATTTAAACATTTTGAACTCTTTAATTAGATCTAGAGTCTATAAGTTTTTAATTAATTTAAGGAAAGCACTTTTGAGTACTTTTATTAGAACGTTGACAATGAATTAAAAAATAATGTTTGTTTCTGTTTGTTACTCCCTATGACTGTCTAAATACTCTAAACTTTTGTTTTAAAAAAACTGTCTGTCCTGGTGAAAATAATTAATGATTTGACTTAATGTTTTTGACAGGCATTAATTTATAGTAAAAATGGAAGAGCGCGGGTTGAAGAAGGACCACAGCGGGTAACTATGTGTACTACATTACTTAATAATTTACCTCAGATTTTATGTATCTGACACAGCAGCTATTTTTAGCCACAATGAAGCTTTTGTTACCATCTGTTCTGTTGTAATGTAACAAATTAGTAATGTTACCAGCTGCTGTATTGTAACAAATTCGTAATGATACCAGCTGCTGATGCTAGTTAAATTATTGGTTCATTTTTCTGTCTATATCTTTCTATTGACCTCTTGAAAAAAAATTGTTAGAAAATTTATTTAGAATACTCTTGTAAGCAGTGCCGGCACCAGGTTATTTAGCGCCCTAGGCAAAATTTATTAAAAGCGCCCCCCCCCCCCCCCACAATTTTTTTTGTGCCCCCATATTATCAGAGGCGTAGCACCCCACCCCTCAAACTTTCGATTTGCACCCCCCTCAAACTTTCAATTTGTTTTTCCAACCCATTTTGGTGCCCCCCTTACAGACAGCGCCCTAGGCGACCGCCTTGTTCGCCTTATAGGTAGCGCCGGCCCTGCTTGCAAGCCAGCTGTTTAAAAAATATATAATTAATGAGGTACCAATTAGTGAAAACGATAATTAAAACAATAATTAAACCGGAAAAATCCATTATACATTAGCAGTAATTAGTTTTTATATTTTTTTCAGCTTTATTTGTTTCGTGAAAAATTTAAAAAGATGACCTGTTATTCTGCTAGTCAAAAGGAATTTCTAGTGATCAAATACAAGAATGGCACTACTGAACATATAAAAGGGTAAGTATTTTTCCAATTATAGAATGTTGCTAGCCATGTACCAGTCTGTTTGACCCCCTCCCCCCCCCCCCCTCCCCCCATCTTGTGTTGACAGGCCATGTATCAGACATAAGAATGAAATACACCACTTGAGCATTGAGGTCAGGAGCTTGATATCCCTGGATGCCAATGAAGTTCTCGTGGTCTACACCCAAGACAGTCCGAGTGTCAGGAGGAGGGTTCAGTATGGACCAACTTTGTTTTTACTGGGAGAAAATCAATGGCAAGTCTGTGCTTGTGTTCATACAATCTTTTCAATCTGTAGCTGGAGTTAGCCAAGTCAAGTTTATATACATTAAAACTTGCCATAAAAAGAAATATTACTTAGACTGACTGTCTTGTTGACCTACTCTACAGAAGTAAATCAAGTGTTGATGTTGTACAAAATGACCCTAGTGGGTAAACTAATGTTGCTATACAGAATGACCCTAGGTAAACTAATGTTGATGTTATACAAATTGACCCTAGGTAAACTAATGTTGGTGTTATGTTGCAGGCTGCATGAGTTTTGCTGGCATGGAACTGACCCTGAAAACAAAACTAGAATGATTCCAAACAGGCACAGATTCACAGCCCTCAAAGTCATCCCTGATCAGTTCTACTACAATGTAAGGTTTTATTGTTGACTAGATCAGTTCTACTACAATGTAAGGTTTTATTGTTGACTAGATCAGTTCTACTACAATGTAAGGTTCTATTGTTGACTAGATCAGTTCTACTACAATGTAAGGTTTTATTGTTGACTAGATCAGTTCTACTACAATGTAAGGTTCTATTGTTGACTAGATCAGTTCTACTACAATGTAAGTTTTTATTGTTGTTGACTCATAGAATAAACCCACAAAGATTTTAAATGAAGATGTTTGCTTGTGAATTGAATTTTAACCTTTGAACTTTGACCACAGGTTGATGAGGTCAGGACAGCTGATGACGCACTATTGAGGGTAAAGTTGATGATGTTTTATGAACTGACGGACATTGAGAAGATGGTGAGTAGGTGCACACAGCTGTTACTCACAACCCTACACACATATTACCCACTGGGAGGCTACCACGTTATGGTCTTGAGGGGGGGGGGGGGGGGGGACGACTATTTATGACCTATAATTAGATTTGCTCTAGGGGTCATCTACTGCCTTGATGCAACAGTAAAATATTTGGATTGCTCAGCAAACCTTCAAGCAAACGATGCCAACATTAATCTCTTATAACCTTTTATTTATTTGTTTCACATATTCAAGATGCTACTTTTAATATTTAAACAATAGACTTGTAGAGAATTAATAACTAGTTAAATTATGCGTAGTGCTATGTACACTATAAGTTAATGAACTTTGTATATTTGAATTGCGTTGAAAGAGAACTATATCATTGGATGTGATAATTTGATGTCCCCCAAGGAATATTTCTTGAAATAACTTTTTTATTCCTGGGTTCAATCTGCAGCTGACCTCCACAAAAGATCCAATGGCTGATTTTATCAAGTAAGTTTTTTTTTTTTTTTTTTTTTTTTTGTAAGGTGGGCCTACTGGTAACATTAGTAACACCATTTCTTTTCTTTTATTTTTCAAATATTCAAGTCATTTTTAGCTCTTATTTAATCTAAAATATTTTCAAACTTTCAACTGGAAAGTATATGGTACTGTACAGAAAATAAAATTACTGGATTTAAATTAAAAAGCTGGCCAGAGATGTAAATAAATTGTAAATAGCCCAGCGATCAGTGGTAAAAAAAACATCATAATTTGTTTACAGTTGCCTTTGTGCAGATGTTATAGCATTCACAGCAAGAAAGAGGTTAGGCAAACTTTTTATTATCACTTTAAAAATTGTCGTCATAAATATTTTACAAAAATATTTTTTTTTGTTAGAAATTTTTAAAATTACATTTTCCACTATGTATAGAATATTTGTTTGGCACCTTCTAGCTACGAAGAATTTATTGAAACCGCGAGTGAATTGAACGACCTGACCAACTACCCGCTGCTCATGGAACGCTGCAAGACCATTGGTTACTCAGTGTCCAAGGTTGTGTTTCGAGGCTATTATGCACACGACAAGCTGCAGATGATGCATGATGTTATGATTAAAAGGAGAACAGAACTCAGGCTAAAGGTATTTTTTTACAAGCTATTTCAAATTTATTAGATTTTATTGATGTCAGCTTCAATTATTTACATAAATACACCTACGGGAGGGAGGGGGGGTGTGTGAGTAAAACTTATACTATTTTACTGTCAACCTTAGTTCTAAAATAAAAACAACAGATAACTAACAACTAATCATGTTTATTAGTGGAACCAGCTTCCACCCCAAGCCTACCAGCTCACACAATGCCTTACAGCTAACCCCAACGAAGCCTACCAGCCCACCCCAGCCTACCAGCCCACCCCAAGCCGACCACTAATTTCCTCATACGTTATTGTTAGGCCAAATATTGAGAATTTTATTTAGTCACCATTTTTTTAAAAACAAAATACCCAGTTTTAGATGTTATGACCCAGTTTGTTAAGTGTGTTATGACCCAGTTTGTTAAAACAAATGTGTTATGACCCAGTTTGTTAAGATAAATGTGTTATGAGCCATTGTGAAGAATGTCTTAGACAAAAATGTTTAAAGTAAGCTGTGCATGCAGGCAGGTGTTTTCTTATCATTTAGTTTGAGAGTGAGGCCCAGGAACAGTCGCTGATTGACATGAAGCTGCAAGCAGAGATCAACCGGCTGGAACAAGGTGTGGCGCTTTAGTAACATTTGGTGCCAAATTTAATTAGTGTTCAACATTTGTTGCCAAATTAAATTAGTATTCAATATTAAATTGTTGCCAAATTAAATAAGTGTTCAACATTTGTTGCCAAATTAAATTAGTATTCAATATTTGTTGGTAAATTAAATTAGTGTTCAATATTTGATAGCAAATTAAATTAGTGTTTCAATATTTGTTGGTAAATTAAATTAGTGTTCAATATTTGTTGGCAAATGAAATTAGTATTCAATATTTGTTGCCAAATTAAATTAGTGTTCAACATTTGTTGCCAAATTAAATTAGTGTTTAATATTTGTTAGCAAAATTAAATTAGTGTTCAATATTTGTTGGCAAATTAAATTAGTGTTCAATATTCGTTGCATGTTACAACTTGCATTATTTTACCACTAGAGACTTTCTAAAAGACACAAAATGATGTGTCATTTTTATTTTAAAAAGTTATGTGTGGTATTTTATATCAAAATAGTTATGTTGTTATTTTATATAAACAGTCCCATGTGTTTTTATTTGATTAAAAAATGTGTTGTTATTTGACCAGAACAAGAGATGGAGCTGGAGAATTTACTTCATGCTCAGAAAATGGAAAAGTAAGTTAAATCTTTCTTTACCCAAGCTTTACTTTAAATGTTTTGATCACGCAGCAAAAGTTTTTATTTTAGATTGGAGCTGTGGCAAATAAATTTAGTTTAGATTGGAGCCGTAGCTTAATTTGAAATGAAATCAGTCAAATATTTGTGTCACCAATGTTTGACAGATCGGCGCTGGAGCACCAGATGAGCCTGGAGAAACAAAGCCACGTCCAAAAGTTGCAGAAACAAAGAGAGAAAAATCAGGCACTGCTAGATGTCAGTACAAAAATATTTTAACCTCATTATCAGACAAAACTATAATTTCTTTTAAATATAAGTAGTGTGTGGCCGGACCAACTTTTCTTGACGGTCATCTTGGTAATGATGTCCACCAAAATACCAAGCTTATATTGGTTTACATCATAGTTTTGTATTCATTTCAACAATAAATTATTTACTTTTATTTTGTTAAGTCTACAACAAAACTCATCTGACATTAGATCATTACTATTGCTAGTGTTTACCGTACACTTTTCACCACAGTGATTAAGGTCCTGTCTGATGTCTGCAATTTGTTTAGTCCAAGGTCCTGTCTGATGTCTGTAATTTGTTTAGTCCAAGGTCCTGTCTGATGTCTGTAATTTGTTTAGTCTAAGGTCCTGTCTGATGTCTGTAATTTGTTTAGTCCAAGGTCCTGTCTGTAATTTGTTTAGTCCAAGGTCCTGTCTGATGTCTGTAATTTGTTTAGTCCAAGGTCCTGTCTGATGTCTGTAATTTGTTTAGTCCAAGGTCCTGCCTGATGTCTGTAATTTGTTTAGTCCAAGGTCCTGTCTGATGTCTGTAATTTGTTTAGTCCAAGGTCCTGTCTGTAATTTGTTTAGTCCAAGGTCCTGTCTGATGTCTGTAATTTGTTTAGTCCAAGGTCCTGTCTGTAATTTGTTTAGTCCAAGGTCCTGTCTGATGTCTGTAATTTGTTTAGTCCAAGGTCCTGTCTGATGTCTGTAATTTGTTTAGTCCAAGGTCCTGTCTGATGTCTGTAATTTGTTTAGTCCAAGGTCCTGTCTGATGTCTGTAATTTGTTTAGTCCAAGGTCCTGTGTTATGTCTGTAATTTGTTTAGTCCAAGGTCCTGTCTGATGTCTGTAATTTGTTTAGTCCAAGGTCCTGTCTGATGTCTGTAATTTGTTTAGTCTAAGGTCCTGTCTGATGTCTGTAATTTGTTTAGTCCAAGGTCCTGTCTGTAATTTGTTTAGTCCAAGGTCCTGTCTGATGTCTGTAATTTGTTTAGTCCAAGGTCCTGTCTGATGTCTGTAATTTGTTTAGTCCAAGGTCCTGTCTGATGTCTGTAATTTGTTTAGTCCAAGGTCCTGTCTGATAGACTGGAGTTTGAGCACCTGAAGGACCTCCACAACCTGAACGTAGATGTGGCCAGACTTTTAGAGGTGCATGCTGGAAAACCTGGCAAGGTGACCGCCATCTTTGTAGACCAGGGGACAGCCACGCTGCACCTGCATCATAACGATCCAACGCACCCAATCCTTGGAGTGACCAGCAGTCAACTGATGACCTAGTTAAGGTGAATTACTGACCTAGTTGAAATTACCAGCAGTTAACTGATGACCTAGTTGAAATTACCAACAGTTAACTGATGACCTAGTTGAAATTACCAACAGTTAACTGATGACTTAGTTAAGGTGAATTACTGACCTAGTTGAAATGACCAGCAGTCAACTGATGACCTAGTTAGAAAGACAATCATTGAATAACTGACTTTAAAAACAAACACAATAGCCTTGGTCTTGTGTTTAACAAGTTTTATGAGTTTTGATTTTATCCAAGTCTTTTATTGAAGTATGAACAGATTTTGTTTTACAGAAATTTAGCTGATGTAAGTTTATCTAAGTACATGTAAGCATATGTAAGCTTATTTAAGTGTAATAATTACATCTTTATAGAAGAAACTATTCCCAAGTTGTTTGGTGATGAAGTAAATTTTCTTCTTCTCTACAAGCCTGACAAATGTACTACTGCAAAGATATTTAGATGTAGCATATTTTTTCTATGGTGTGTGATCATTTTATGTTTGCAAAAAATAATGCATTTCACTTTTGGGTATCATACATTTATTAGACACAACATCTGACAATCAGAGAGTAGCCTACACATCTTACACTCCCATCAGAGAGTAGCCTACACATCTTACACTCCCATCATAGAGTAGCCTACACATCTTACACTCCCATCAGAGAGTAGCCTACACATCTTACACTCCCATCAGAGAGTAGCCTACACATCATACACTCCCATCAGAGAGTAGCCTACACATCTTACACTCCCATCAGAGAGTAGACTACACATCTTACACCCATCAGAGAGTAACATATAGATGCTACTCTCTGATGTCAGGGATATTTTGTTACCTAGTATTCAGAACCCTCAATTGTTTGACTCACAGTAGCTAGGGGATGTGGGGCTGTGTTGTCATTTTTAAATACATATACATCTAATAACTTTCCATTATACATCTGTACTTTATAGGACTCTAGTGGAAAGGGTGAGGGTTCTAAAACCACTACACCACTGTTTCCTATTTGTTTGAGTATCTATTGGTTATTTAATTTCATTTTTAAAAATCAATGTCTAATATTAATATTAAATATTAATAAACACATTGTGAAATTTGTTACAAAAACCATACAACTCCTCAATCTAGCTTTATATACATTCATTATACATAGTTTGAAAAAGAATTCTCATTTTAAAAATGTAGGCAAAATATAGTAGATCTAGATCTATTTTTAGTCTCAAAATCAGTGTAATGCTTGCAGACCCAATTGAAATAAAATGCATCAGCTTTCCTCTCAAGGGTCGTGGCCTTGGTTAGAAATTTCTGGCTTGATTTTGGTCGTTGTTAGGTTCCCGGGGAAAAGACGAATGTTAAAATTTAACGTGGGATTTTCTATTTCTAAATTTTTATCAGCTCAGGTTTGTAAATTTGGCCTTGAACTTGACCATGTAAATACCAGTGACGCACGAGCCAATGTGCCCACTTTTCTTGTTTGCCACAGAAAAATGTTTTCCTTTTAAAACTTGGACTATAAATTCTGAAAAGTAACTGACCCAGTTTCAAGTAGATTTTGGTTTTGAAATGTGGTGTGGACAAAACAAACAACCTTTCGTGTCTGTTGACAATCATGTGACAATGTTCACTAAACTTGCACAGGGCAATGTTAAAAACATTCATTCTGCCATCTTTTGGTCTTCCTAAATACCTAGAATGGACCATATTCAGTCAAAACGGTGAATCCTGCCAAGAGCTGATTCGGCCTACAAAACGCAGCACAGAAGATTCCGTTGGCTACACATGAAATACGGCTCCGTTTTTTGAATTTGTGTGAAAGTAAGAGCTCAGGTCTTCTCCTTTTTTCCCCCTCAGATATTTGATGACCATCAACACCATAGCGCTAGAGTAGACCAGAATTACCACGACTATGTACACCAAGGCGTCGAATGCTTCAGCGCTACGGGCATGATCTGAGGAAAAACATTACTCTCATTAATACTAGGATCTATAGCTCAACATGCTGGAACTTTCCCCTTCGTAGTACTGAGCCTGCCCATACGTGTACAGTAGTAGGTCTACATTAACTGTCACCGTCGTCGTACCCACAAATGTGCAACAGTAGACATATATATCTAGGCCTAAATATAATATATAATTAACTGACAAAATTGTCCTATCCGGAAGTGCTTATATCCAGTGTTTCTTCCAGACTATTTTCTCCGGGGGGGGGGGGGGGGACTGGTAAAAGTATGTTTTCTATATAAATTCTATTTCATTGGGGGGGGGGGGGGGCGGTAGACTTTCTTCAAGGGGATGGAAGAAACTGCGAGGTATTTTGTGGCGTATTTCAAGTGTAGTTGCGGATTCGAAACCTGTAATAATTTTAAAATTAGTGCACATGGCATTAATGTCATAATTTTAAAATTTAAAGCAATCTTTCTTAGGGCTAAGATCAGGTGTGTTTTTTTTTCAGAACTAATATTAAAAAATGTAAACTGAATCACGGAAATATGTATCTTTTAGCGTATAAATCAACATTTTATGTACAAGTGTTTTTGTTTTTCTTCATACTTTTTCGTGTAACGATAATACGCAAGGTGCTTATAAGTTATATGCTCTCACACCCTGACGAGAAAATAAAGACTGCTTATATATATATATATATATATATATATATAAATATATATATATATATATATATATATATATATATATATATATATATATATATATATATAAATAAATAAATAAATATATATATATATATATATATATATATATATATATATATATATATATATATATCCTATACCGGATGAGAGATTATATAAGCACGTTGCGCATTTCCTCCATCTTTCGCCGATATACAACCATATACAACAGTAGGCATAGAATTGTTATCGTGTTTGTCTCTATGTATCGCCGACTTATGTCCGACAGTTGTAGTACTAGAAGCCTGAATGTCCAACGAGCTGTGACCCTACGCACGACCGACCTTTGACCCCCACGACCGACCTTTGACCCACCCACGACTGACCTTTGACCCACCCACGACCGACCTTTGACCCACCCACGACTGACCTTTGACCCACCCACGACCGACCTTTGACCCACCCACGACCGACCTTTTACCCACCCACGACTGACCTTTGACCCACATACGACCGACCTTTGACCCACCCACGACTGACCTTTGACCCACCCACGACCGACCTTTGACCCACCAACGACCGACCTTAAACCCACCCACGACCGACCTTGACCCACCTACCACTGGTCCAAGCGCCACGCCCCTCCCCCCCACCTATTGTTACTGGTATTCATCATCATGTTAGCGGGCCCAACGGCAATAGTGGAGTTTCTGTCATGCAAGTCGCATGAAACCACGACCAACAGCCCCAAAAACGGAAATACAGCAACAATATGCGAACAGCAAGTAGCCAATACATCATCTGTGACAACAGCAAGTAGCCAATACATCATCTGTGACAACAGCAAGTAGCCAATACAACATCTGTGACAACAGCAAGTAGCCAATACATCATCTGTGACAACAGCAAGTAGCCAATACAACATCTGTGACAACAGCAAGTAGCCAATACAACATCTGTGACAACAGCAAGTAGCCAATACAACATCTGTGACAACATCAAGTAGCCAATACAACATCTGTGACAACATCAAGTAGCCAATACAACATCTGTGACAACAGCAAGTAGCCAATACATCATCTGTGACAACAGCAAGTAGCCAATACAACATCTGTGACAACAGCAAGTAGCCAATACAACATCTGTGACAACAGCAAGTAGCCAATACAACATCTGTGACAACAGCAAGTAGCCAATACAACATCTGTGACAACAGCAAGTAGCCAATACAACATCCGTGACAACAGCAAGTAGCCAATACAACATCTGTGACAACAGCAAGTAGCCAATACAACATCCGTGACAACAGCAAGTAGCCAATACAACATCTGTGACAACAGCAAGTAGCCAATACAACATCTGTGACAACAGCAATTAGCCAATACAACATCTGTGACAACAGCAAGTAGCCAATACAACATCTGTGACAACAGCAATTAGCCAATACAACATCTGTGACAACAGCAAGTAGCCAATACAACATCTGTGACAACAGCAAGTAGCCAATACAACATCTGTGTGACAACAGCAAGTAGCCAATACAACATCTGTGACAACAGCAAGTAGCCAATACAACATCTGTGACAACAGCATGTAGCCAATACATCTGTGACAACAGCAAGTAGCCAATACAACATCTGTGACAACAGCAAGTAGCCAATACAACATCTGTGACAACAGCAAGTAGCCAATACAACATCTGTGACAACATCAAGTAGCCAATACAACATCTGTGACAACAGCAAGTAGCCAATACAACATCTGTGACAACAGCAAGTAGCCAATACAACATCTGTGACAACAGCAAGTAGCCAATACAACATCTGTGTGACAACAGCAAGTAGCCAATACAACATCTGTGACAACAGCAAGTAGCCAATACAACATCTGTGACAACAGCAAGTAGCCAATACAACATCTGTGACTACATCAAGTAGCCAATACATCATCTGTGACAACAGCAAGTAGCCAATACAACATCTGTGACAACAGCAAGTAGCCAATACAACATCTGTGACAACAGCAAGTAGCCAATACAACATCTGTGACAACAGCAAGTAGCCAATACAACATGTGTGACAACAGCAAATAGCCAATACAACATCTGTGTGACAACAGCAAGTAGCCAATACAACATCTGTGACAACAGCAAGTAGCCAATACAACATCTGTGTGACAACAGCAAGTAGCCAATACAACATCTGTGACAACAGCAAGTAGCCAATACAACATCTGTGACTACATCAAGTAGCCAATACATCATCTGTGACAACAGCAAGTAGCCAATACAACATCTGTGTGACAACAGCAAGTAGCCAATACAACATGTGTGACAACAGCAAATAGCCAATACAACATCTGTGTGACAACAGCAAGTAGCCAATACAACATCCGTGACAACAGCAAGTAGCCAATACAACATCTGTGACAACAGCAAGTAGCCAATACACCATCTGTGACAACATCAAGTAGCCAATACATCATCTGTGACAACAGCAAGTAGCCAATACAACATCTGTGTGACAACAGCAAGTAGCCAATACAACATGTGTGACAACAGCAAATAGCCAATACAACATCTGTGTGACAACAGCAAGTAGCCAATACAACATCTGTGACAACAGCAAGTAGCCAATACAACATCTGTGACAGCAGCCAATGAATTAGTCACCACACGTGTAGCCACATCTGAGGCCTCATTAACCCACACTTCATTAACCTGCACCTCATTAACCTCTATTAATTAACGCCGGCGGAAATCCTTTAAACCTCACGACTTACACAAGAGGATATTAATACTGAGTCCCGCAATTCAATTGAATGAAAAAATCGTGACGAATTTGTGATCAGGGAGCGGTTGGTGACACGTTGGTGACACGATGGTACTGGTGATACGCTTTTATTGGTGACACGTTGGTACTGGTGACACGTTGGTGGACACTGTCTGACGTCATTCGTTATGTGGGTGGAGACAGATGGACGATTAGGGTGGTGGCAGGTTGACAGGCAAGGTAGGTTTTTGGAAGTTATTTTTAACAAAGGTTGTAACTTTGGTGAATGTCGTAAATCTAATGAATACATCAACGTTACTAATTACTTGATCTTGTGGTGATACACGGAGCTAAGGGCGGCAACTACTCGTCTGTAGCTGACTCGGGTCTCTCGCTGGGCCCATGTGAGCCCAGCTTTAGCATTGAAATTGGTCATTAGGCCTTGTTTTAGTTTAGTGACGTCAATTTCATTCATTAATTTTGAATGACCTACACACGCTAGTGTTAGGTCAGGAGATATACGGCCGCCATTGTAGTCTATTTTAGACTGTCCAAATGGTCCACACGGTAGTGCTTATATCCGCAAACAGAGGAAATACGCAATGTGCTTATATTCTCTCTCATCCTGTAGCTATATTTGGCCTCTAGTTTTAGGCGGGGGGGGGGGGGGGGGGATGCGCGAACCGCACCGGGTGACACCAAGGCAAAAAATAGCTAAATGTTAAGAAGAAAAATGCTTTTTTTGCGAGTTCTATTACAGTTAAATAGTCTGTAAGTACAAATCGATAATTATTACAATGGGGCGAGGGTGACACCATGACGTAAACGCTAACTATAGAGAAAACAATGCTACATCCAACTGTATTCTTAATATATATATATATATATATATATATATATATATATATATATATACATATATATATATATATATATATATATATAATGTTTCTTGGGGGATGGGGTGACACCACAAAGTGCCGCACCGGGTGACACCCGACATAACGACGCCACTGGCATACGGTACATATTTTTAGAATTTGTAAGAGGTTTATTTTATTTAATTTTTTGTGTACAAAATATTTGAAGCGCTGCGTGATATGTATATATCCACACACCCTGTCCATGACATAAAAACTGAACTTATTTCCCCTCAATGGACTGAACTCGGTGTTAGAGGATCTAAGCACGGTACTTATTTCCTTCATCGCCGAAATAAGCACTAGTATATACGGTTGGCAAGTATCTTAAGATGGTGTGTTATATCGTGAGAGTAAATCGTGAGCACTCACCATTGAGATCGCTGGTCAAACAAGCAGAAGTGTTGTTCAGGGGTGTCCCCAACTCCAGCCCAGTAGAGATGTTGTTCATAACTGAGACTAACAAAGCTAGAACTAAGGTATCCAGAGGTCTTTTAGGTTCCATGCCATCAATGTGTCAAGTTTCTTGTCATCAATGTGTCAAGTTTCTTGCCATCAATGTGTCGTTTCTCACTGTTTATCACGTGATATGTAAGATTTCTTTCAGATGAGTTTTTGTAGTCAGTGAGGAGTCACTGGTCAGCACGTGAAGAGTCACTGGTCAACACGTGAAGAGTCACTGATCAGCAGGTGAAGAGTCACTGGTCAGCACGTGAAGAGTCGCTGGTCAGCAGGTGAAGAGTCACTGGTCAGCAGGTGAAGAGTCACTGGTCAGCAAGTGAAGAGTCACTGGTCAGCACGTGAAGAGTCACTGGTCAGCACGTGAAGATTCACTGGTCAGCAGGTGAAGAGTCACTGGCCAGCAAGTGAAGAGTCACTGGTCAGCAAGTGAAGAGTCACTGGTCAGCACGTGAAGAGTCGCTGGTCAGCACGTGAAGAGTCGCTGGTCAGCACGTGAAGAGTCACTGGTCAGCAGGTGAAGAGTCACTGGTCAGCAAGTTGAGTGAGAAACACCACCTCAGTTGGCAGACCGCAACTTCAACAGCCGGCACGTGAGGCACTGTATCCAGACCTTGTATCCAGGTCTTATATCCAGCGACTTGTATCCAGCGACTTGTATCCAGCGACTTGTATCCAGCGACTTGTATCCAGGCCTTGTATCCAGCAGCTTGTATCCAGGCCTTGTATCCAGGTCTTATATCCAGGTCTTATATCCAGCAGCCTGTATCCAGCGACTTGTATCCAGGCCTTGTATCCAGCAGCTTGTATCCAGCGACTTGTATCCAGCGACTTGTATCCAGGCCTTGTATCCAGCAGCTTGTATCCAGAGACTTGTATCCAGTAGCGCTGACCTAACCAGCCTCCACCATTGCCTGTGTTGGACCGATGTTGTGATCCAACACTGGCTAACAGGTGGCTCCATCTAACTTTAAAATTGATCTTCTGGCTTACTCAAAGAAAATTATGCAAAATATTTGCATGACTGATAAGAACTTTTGTATTTATTTATTGAAGCACATCGACACGGGGTCTGAACAATTAGCCTTTTTTTGTAGTGGGCCACTTAAGCGTGATGCTAGACTGGCGAATAAAACCTTTGTTCTCTACTGGCGAATAAAATATTTGTTCTCTACTGGCGAATAAAACCTTTGTTCTCTACTGTAGTACTGGCGAATAAAACCTTTGTTCTCTACTGGCGAATAAAACCTTTGTTCTCTACTGGCGAATACAACGTTTGTTCTCTACTGGCGAATAAAACCTGTGTTCTCTACTGGCGAATAAAATATTTGTTCTCTACTGGCGAATAAAACCTTTGTTCTCTTCTGTAGTACTGGCGAATAAAACCTTTGTTCTCTACTGGCGAATACAACCTTTGTTCTCTACTGGCGAATAAAACCTTTGTTCTCTTCTGTAGTGCTGGCGAATACAACCTTTGTTCTCTACTGGCGAATAAAACCTTTGTTCTCTACTGGCGAATACAACCTTTGTTCTCTACTGGCGAATAAAACCTGTTCTCTACTGGCGAATAAAACCTGTGTTCTCTACTGGCGAATAAAACCTGTGTTCTCTACTGGCGAATAAAACCTGTGTTCTCTACTGGCGAATACAACCTTTGTTCTCTACTGGCGAATAAAACCTTTGTTCTCTACTGGCGAATACAACCTTTGTTCTCTACTGGCGAATACAACCTTTGTTCTCTACTGGCGAATACAACCTTTGTTCTCTACTGGCGAATACAACCTTTGTTCTCTACTGGCGAATACAACCTTTGTTCTCTACTGGCGAATACAACCTTTGTTCTCTACTGGCGAATACAACCTTTGTTCTCTACTGGCGAATACAACCTTTGTTCTCTACTGGCGAATACAACCTTTGTTCTCTACTGGCGAATACAACCTTTGTTCTCTACTGGCGAATACAACCTTTGTTCTCTACTGGCGAATAAAACCTGTGTTCTCTACTGGCGAATAAAATATTTGTTCTCTACTGGCGAATAAAACCTTTGTTCTCTTCTGTAGTACTGGCGAATAAAACCTTTGTTCTCTACTGGCGAATACAACCTTTGTTCTCTACTGGCGAATAAAACCTTTGTTCTCTTCTGTAGTGCTGGCGAATACAACCTTTGTTCTCTACTGGCGAATAAAACCTTTGTTCTCTACTGGCGAATACAACCTTTGTTCTCTACTGGCGAATAAAACCTGTTCTCTACTGGCGACTAAAACCTGTGTTCTCTACTGGCGAATAAAACCTGTGTTCTCTACTGGCGAATAAAACCTGTGTTCTCTACTGGCGAATACAACCTTTGTTCTTTACTGGCGAATACAACCTTTGTTCTCTACTGGCGAATAAAACCTTTGTTCTCTACTGGCGAATACAACCTTTGTTCTCTACTGGCGAATACAACCTTTGTTCTCTACTGGCGAATACAACCTTTGTTCTCTACTGGCGAATACAACCTTTGTTCTCTACTGGCGAATACAACCTTTGTTCTCTACTGGCGAATACAACCTTTGTTCTCTACTGGCGAATACAACCTTTGTTCTCTACTGGCGAATACAACCTTTGTTCTCTACTGGCGAATACAACCTTTGTTCTCTACTGGCGAATACAACCTTTGTTCTCTACTGGCGAATACAACCTTTGTTCTCTACTGGCGAATACAACCTTTGTTCTCTACTGGCGAATACAACCTTTGTTCTCTACTGGCGAATACAACCTTTGTTCTCTACTGGCGAATAAAACCTTTGTTCTCTTCTGTAGTGCTGGCGAATACAACCTTTGTTCTCTACTGGCGAATAAAACCTTTGTTCTCTACTGGCGAATACAACCTTTGTTCTCTACTGGCGAATAAAACCTGTTCTCTACTGGCGAATAAAACCTGTGTTCTCTACTGGCGAATAAAACCTGTGTTCTCTACTGGCGAATAAAACCTGTGTTCTCTACTGGCGAATACAACCTTTGTTCTCTACTGGCGAATAAAACCTTTGTTCTCTACTGGCGAATACAACCTTTGTTCTCTACTGGCGAATACAACCTTTGTTCTCTACTGGCGAATACAACCTTTGTTCTCTACTGGCGAATACAACCTTTGTTCTCTACTGGCGAATACAACCTTTGTTCTCTACTGGCGAATACAACCTTTGTTCTCTACTGGCGAATACAACCTTTGTTCTCTACTGGCGAATACAACCTTTGTTCTCTACTGGCGAATACAGCCTTTGTTCTCTACTGGCGAATACAACCTTTGTTCTCTACTGGCGAATACAACCTTTGTTCTCTACTGGCGAATAAAACCTGTGTTCTCTACTGGCGAATAAAATATTTGTTCTCTACTGGCGAATAAAACCTTTGTTCTCTTCTGTAGTACTGGCGAATAAAACCTTTGTTCTCTACTGGCGAATACAACCTTTGTTCTCTACTGGCGAATAAAACCTTTGTTCTCTTCTGTAGTGCTGGCGAATACAACCTTTGTTCTCTACTGGCGAATAAAACCTTTGTTCTCTACTGGCGAATACAACCTTTGTTCTCTACTGGCGAATAAAACCTGTTCTCTACTGGCGACTAAAACCTGTGTTCTCTACTGGCGAATAAAACCTGTGTTCTCTACTGGCGAATAAAACCTGTGTTCTCTACTGGCGAATACAACCTTTGTTCTTTACTGGCGAATACAACCTTTGTTCTCTACTGGCGAATAAAACCTTTGTTCTCTACTGGCGAATACAACCTTTGTTCTCTACTGGCGAATACAACCTTTGTTCTCTACTGGCGAATACAACCTTTGTTCTCTACTGGCGAATACAACCTTTGTTCTCTACTGGCGAATACAACCTTTGTTCTCTACTGGCGAATACAACCTTTGTTCTCTACTGGCGAATACAACCTTTGTTCTCTACTGGCGAATACAACCTTTGTTCTCTACTGGCGAATACAACCTTTGTTCTCTACTGGCGAATACAACCTTTGTTCTCTACTGGCGAATACAACCTTTGTTCTCTACTGGCGAATACAACCTTTGTTCTCTACTGGCGAATACAACCTTTGTTCTCTACTGGCGAATACAACCTTTGTTCTCTACTGGCGAATACAACCTTTGTTCTCTACTGGCGAATACAACCTTTGTTCTCTACTGGCGAATACAACCTTTGTTCTCTACTGGCGAATAAAAAAGGTTGTGTGGGTACATACACAGGTTGTGTGGGTGTATATATATAGACAGGTGTGTGTGATATAAAATTGTAAACGATGTAGATGTATACGTGATGTATATGATTGGTCAGCGGCTATATTATTGGTCAATTCATGCATGGCACTAGCTCTCTGGCGATTGGCTTAAATCAGCGGACATTGAAGTTGGTCGCTCCTGGATTTAGCTCGATTTAACGGGCCTGATGATTGGATGAGCTGGGGTTGCCTCGACTAGTGGCTGGTGTATCCTGTTCCGTTAAATGGTTGACTCATCGCTTGAAGGCAGTTGGTGTTTCCTGATCCGTTAAACGGTTGACTCATCGCTTGAAGATAACTGGTGTATGACTAGCCCATTGGACTTGAAGATAACTGGTGTATGACTAGCCCATTGAAGATAACTGGTGTATGACTAGCCCATTGAAGATAACTGGTGTATGACTAGCCCATTGAAGATAACTGGTGTATGACTAGCCCATTGAAGATAACTGGTGTATGACTAGCCCATTGAAGATAACTGGTGTATGACTAGCCCATTGGACACACGCTTACCACAATCATACCTTTGCTGCATCCCCTTCCCGTGGACTAACACACGTTGACGGGGGCAGATAATCGCGGATTAACGCCCTTGACAGTGCTACTTGTGCAGCAGATGGACAAACCAACCTGCAGAGTTTCTTCCAGTCGAGCATCTCTTCGGGGGGGGGGGGGGGGCGAAGAAAGTCTACCGCCCCCCCCTCTCCTCCCGAACGAGATGGAATTTATATAGTAAACATACTTTTACTAGTGTCCGCCCCCCCCCCTCCCGGAAAATGTAGACCGCCCCCCCCCCCCCCCCCGAAAAGTAGACTGATAGTGCAGGTCTATTGGAGTGTAAGGGGATTATAGCTTGTATAATTTTATACATGTAGGCCTACTACTACTACCTGCACTACAATATATGAGAGTATCTTGACTGATTATATAACTTGTCTGACTGCATAACCTACTGTAGGCATATAACGGTTGACTGTAGGCATATAACGGTTGACTGTAGGCATATCACCTGTCACCTGTTTTTACACCTGGAGATGACGTCTTGCTCAGGTCCAGTGTGACAGGCTGTGGGTGCGGCTAGCAAGATAAATGTTCCTGTCATCAGATAACTCTCCCACTGCCCCCCCCCCCCCCCTTTTCCCATCCTGCCGCTAGAAGAAGAATATAAACCAGTCTCAAGCGAAGACGCCATTCAATTGTCAACAAACATTCCCCCGCTGGCCGACTTTGTTTCATTCACCGAGAGAAAAATAAACAATTTTGTGTGGGATTTTTTTTTTCGTAAAACAAGGATTTGTTTCCTAAAAACTTGAGCTGTAGCAGACGGCCTAACTCGTGCCTGACCTTTCACCGGTGCCTTCAGGTGAGTCTCGCGCAATGTGCCACTGCGTGTGCCTTCTGTTGCTTTCACTTTTTAAACCTAGGTTAGATATATCAGAAGATAAATGTGATGTTTAAAAACTAGGCTACTTTGAAAGATGCATCAAGATTAGTTCATGTTCTGATGCTCATTAAACGTGTGCAAATATAACACGAAAACAGCCAAAGCGCTACACCGGGCGATTTACTGCTGACTCGATTTTAGAATGTCAACGGTAGATCTATCGAGCGCTTAGCGGACTCTGTGGCGCAACGGTAGCGCGTCTGACTCCAGATCAGAAGGTTGCGTGTTCAAATCACGTCAGGGTCATCTATGTTTTTTATTTTATTTAGGTTCATTTAAAAATATTGGATTTATGTATAATATTTTAACATATATACACATCTATAATATAAGCTGCCTAGTAGTGTGTCACCCGTTACTCATCGCTATAAATTCTAGAACCATACAACATCAACATATGCTGTGCTTTTTACTTGCATCGCCATTGTCTTGTTATAAGTAATGTAGTAGGATTAATTTATGTAAGAACTTAAATGTTTTGACTGTCGGCAAAGTTTTTACTCTCCCATACAAAAGAACATGAAGAAAATATTAAATGCACGCCCATTGATAAACAGTGTTTCTTCCAGACTTTTTTCTCCGGGAGGGCACTTGAAATTTTCGGGGGGGGGGGGGGGGGGGCGGTAGACTTTCTTCGGGGGGGGGGGGGGTGGCGGACACTGTTAAAAGTATATATGTATATATTTTCTATATAAATTATATAAATTTCATTTCGTTCGGGGGGGCGGTAAAAAATTTTCGGGGGGGCTTTGCCCCCCCCCCCCCCCGAAGAGATGCCCGGAAGAAACTCTGTTGATAAATCATACTAAACCTATCAATGTCTTTTCGCTTATATGCCTAGAAAAAATGGATACATTTTAATAATAGTAGGGTAGAAAAAAACTAATTAATTAAAATGTTTTATAATTTTGCCAAGGGAGGTAATTTAAAAAGAAATTCAACTCCGCTAAATGTAAAACAAAATGTGAATGCAAATTGCGCGGAAGTCCTTGAGGGCAATTTTTTTTGGAATACACGGCCGTTTGTTTGATACAGCTTTTGAGTTTAGTGTTTGCGTTTTCTTTTATTTTTTTGTTTGCGTTTCGTTTGTGAGTTGTTGTTTTTTTTTTGTGTTTGCATTGTTTTTGTGTTTGCGTTTGCATTTTCAAAAAAAGGATTCACCGTGACGGAGCACGGATATGCAGCTAGTGTATATATAATTATGACATGATTACTTTGACACAAAGAAATGTCATACAACGGCCTTGACATTGTTTAAGCAAAATTCACACAACGGTCACGATGACATATTGCTTAACCAAATGCCAGGATGTTCACACACCTGATTGGTGGATGCATCACGTGATGACACCAGGAAATGCAGGAACGAGACCATGCCATGCCGGGAAGTCGTCCATCAATGTAATCATAACTTTTTCTCGGACTATTTTTAGTAACACAGGAAGTGTGCAAAAACACAATTATCTCTCTGCAGCGAAACGAAGATAATAAAACTGTAAAAGATGAAAAGTACATAAAAATTAACACTCTGGCTGTGGTATGCTATTGGCTCCAAATGTTGCGTATATTTTTAACCGACTTGCAGTTGTATATACGTGTAATGAGTAGGGTAGAAGAAGGTGTCATCTATTATTGTCGCCACACACTTAAAGGGGGGGGGGGGGTAAGGTTCAAACTTTCGCGACGATAGATGGGAGGGGTTTATGTGTTGAGTTATTTGGGGTGGGGTATATTTGTGTCGACCTTTTAGATGGCGGGGAAATGGACAAAATGTCTTAATTAAATTATGGAATAAACTTTAAGATACAGTTAGAGACAGAGTAGAGATCAGAATTGGAAGTGGGGGGGGGGTTGATTAACTTATGGAAAGTCTCAAATATCTATCCTACATTTTGTACTAGAGCTAGATCTCAGTACATCCCGCCCCAAGTATTCTGTACTTTACAGTCACGTGATATAGGCCACAAATCTATTTTTAGACCTTCTCTTCAATCATTTGTTTCTAATTTTAACATGAGCTGTACCTGGTGGACAGGTCAAGGGTGATTCAGTGGTCTAGATACGGTAAACTGTCCAAAAGTCGCCTGCTTTGTTTACGGTAAACATTCAAATAGTCAAGGGTGATTCAGTGGTCTAGATACGGTAAACATTCAAATAGTCAAGGGTGATTCAGTGGTCTAGATACGGTAAACATTCAAATAGTCAAGGGTGATTCAGTGGTCTAGATACGGTAAACATTCAAATAGTCAAGGGTGATTCAGCTGTCTAGATACGGTAAACATTCAAATAGTCAAGGGTGATTCAGTGGTCTAGATACGGTAAACCGTCCAAAAGTCGCCTGCTTTCTTTACGGTAAACATTCAAATAGTCAATTGGTTTATTTACAGTATTTAAAGCTGTTCATGTGAAGATAGTGTACACACGATACCACAGAAATTAGGGAAGGGGATGGTTATTCGCATTAGACGATGGGTCGGGTGGTTTAAAGCAGAAATAAAATAATTGAAAGACAATCGGCATCAAAACATCAGCATAATAATCTTTATGCTGTGCTGCCAACACTGTCTTTAATTTTTTTCCTGATTTTTGTTTTAATACTTGGTGGTTGCTTGGATTAAATGACATATTTATAAAAACAATTATTTTAAAATATACCATTAATTTCAAACTGTTTTTCATTTTAAAAACTTAGCAATTGATTATGAGCATAACGGTGAGAGTTACATTCCCACCATTTCAGATTTCATTGGATGTTGTATCAAATTGTTGTTGTTTGTGTGTGTGGGGGGGGGGGGGGGTCTAGAAATGTTATTTGAAACGTTAAAAAAGATTATTTGTGTGTGGGGGGTCTAGAAATGTTATTTGAAACGTTAAAAAAGATTATTTGTGTGTGTGGGGGGGGGGGTGTCTAGAAATGTTATTTGAAACGTTAAAAAAGATTATGTGTGGGGGTGGGTGGGTAAAAAAATTGACTCCCGTTTGTTAGAACCGGCCGAACATACTGAGGCCAAGGGAGATGACTCTCGCGTGTCTGACGTAGTCACATGACAGATTGCTCCAGTCGACCAGGTAAACAGCTTGCTGGAGCAGACGACAGAAACAGACGACAGAAAGTTGCCTTGTGACACGTCTATTTTGGTCTCGCAGCTTTGACCCTAAGAATTTGTGCTTTCATTTGGTTTGGAGGATTATGTCATTTCTGTCCGCTAATATTTGAAGCGCTCGTCGTTTGCAAACGTTAGTTGGACACATTTAAAACGCTTTTCATTTCTAGTCTTGATCGTTTGGTAACCTGCGACGGAGTTCGCCTGGTGTTTACATGTTTTTAACGCTGAATTTATTTCTTAGGGGCTGACGGACAAGAACTACAGTGGAAAGAAAAAGTTGGATCTTCGTCGTTCGACTTCAGAATTTTTATCTACCGCGTATGCTTCGAGAATTTTGGATCTTCACTGTGCATCGATAGATTCGGATCTGGGCTGATCATTGGCCAGCACATCGCTTCAAACTTTGGCCACCACATAGCTTTGAACTTTGGCCACCACGTCTCTTTAAACTTTGGCCAGCACATCGCTTTGAACTTTGGCCACCACATTAAAGTGTAGCTAGCTGAATAAGTGGACTGAAAATGTTGGTACCAGAAAGAATGAGACTGGCTTTGTTTGTGTTGATGTGCACCTTGGGTGCACTACAGTGCGCACCAACTTGGAGCCTACAGTGCAACTCCCGAAATAGAGATCCGTGTGCAAATTTCCCTGAGCTGTGTACGGCTGGCGGTGGGCTGTGTGTCGTCAAGGTAAGTCATCCAGCTGTCAGACGTGTGCTTGAACGTCTGGTTTTTAGTTGTAGGAAACCACATTATATGTCCCACAATTGTCTCCCACATTATATGTCCCACACTTATCTCCCACATTATATGTCCCACACTTATCTCCCACATTATATGTCCCACAATTATCTCCCACATTATATGTCCCACATTATATGTCCCACAATTATCTCCCACATTATATGTCCCACACTTATCTCCCACATTATATGTCCCACAATTGTCTCCCACATTATATGTCCCACATTATATGTCCCACAATTATCTCCCACATTATATGTCCCACAATTATCTCCCACATTATATGTCCCACACTTATCTCCCACATTATATGTCCCACAATTATCTCCCACATTATATGTCCCACATTATATGTCCCACAATTATCTCCCACATTATATGTCCCACACTTATCTCCCACATTATATGTCCCACAATTATCTCCCACATTATATGTCCCACACTTATCTCCCACATTATATGTCCCACACTTATCTCCCACATTATATGTCCCACAATTATCTCCCACATTATATGTCCCACAATTATCTCCCACATTATATGTCCCACACTTATCTCCCACTTTATTTGTCCCACACTTATCTCCCATATTATATGTCCCACACTTATCTCCCACATTATATGTCCTACATAATCTGGCATACATTATAAGTCCTACATTATATGTCCTACATTATATGTTCCACAATATTTGTCCTACATTATAGGCCACACAATATTTGTCTTACATTATATGTCCTACATTATATGTTCCACAATATTTGTCCTACATTATATGTCCCACAATGTTTGTCCTACATTATATTTCCCACAATATTTGACCTACATTATGGGTCCCACATTTATGTTTCAAAGTTTTAGGTCCTACATTTATTTCCCACATTATATGTCCTACATTAATGTCCTACATTAATGTCCTACATTATATTTCCTATATATTTGTCCTACATTATATGTCCTACATTAATGTCCTACATTATTGTTCTACATTAATGTCCTACATTATTGTTCTACATTATTGTTCTACATTATTGTTCTACATTAATTCCTACATTATATGTCCTACAGTATATGTCCTACATAAATGTCCTACATACCCATCTAAACTGTCCTCTCTGTTTTAGGGCCCCTGTGAGTACGAGTGCATCTGCCCACCCAACGGTCACGCTGCACGTGATTGTCTGCTGGTCGGGGAACCGGACCCGGCTCCGGTAGACCCACGGAACCAGGCCGTGCAGTCCGGCAGTCTTCTAGTCTTTGACCCCAATTTATTTTTCGAGATGGAGCTCCCCAAAAATTTGACATCGGAAGCCACGACCGTCCCGCCACCTACAGCAGCCCCCAGCACCACCAGCAGCACCACCAGCAGCACCACCACCAGCACGACAACAACTCTAACACCAGCGGAGACGACCACAGCGAGCTCACAAGTTGAGCAGACAACAAGTGACCAGACGATGGCATCCAACAAATTTCTCGCTCAGATCCACGGGAATATCTTGAGCTCCATTCTGGACATCAATACAGTTACCTCACCGGAAATGACCTCAGCAGCCACACCCTCACAAGCAGCTGATGCGGTGAAAGCCCCTGGGCCCCCCGTACCCCAGCAGGCGGCCCCAGCCCGCCCCGCCTCGCCTGGTGTCGCCGCCACCTCCCCAGCAGAACTTCTGCAGATGATCGAGAAAATTAAAAGCTCCTATCAGCTGCTGTCGTCCAAAGGCTTGACCAAACCAAGCGGCGGTCTGGCCGGCAGTACTAGCACCAGCACCAGCACTAGCACTAGCACCAGCACCAGCACTAGCACCAGCACCAGCACTACCACAAGACCCCCAGTATCTGCTGGCTCAGAGCTTTTACAGCAAAACCCAGTACCCGAGCTACCAACAGTTTCGCCTTCAGAACGTCTGCAGACCAACCAACGAACGAGCCAGTCGCCAGCTGACGTCACACAGCCACCAGCTGACGTCACACAGCCACCAGCTGACGTCACACAGCCACCAGCTGACGTCACACGGCCACCAGCTGACGTCACACAGCCACCAGCTGACGTCACACAGCCACCAGCTGACGTCACACAGCCACCAGCTGACGTCACACAGCCACCAGCTGACGTCACACAGCCACCAGCTGACGTCACCAGCCGACCAACCTTGACCTTTGAAACATCCACTGAGAAAACTCAGCAGAGGTGAGGCTGGTGTCATGACATTTGACACGTGACATATAAAGAATTGTAAAACCTTGCTGAACTTATTTCTCTCGGGCATTTAAATGTAGAGTTGGCAAACTGACAAACCGCGCTAGTAACAGACTGGCAAACTGACAAACCGCGCTACTGACAAACTGGCATTATCTCTGCTACATAGCGCTAGTGACAAGGTGTTGGAATACTTTGTGAGCTGTGGTGTTGTCTCAGATGGAGGATTTCGCTGGAAAAAAAATGTGACAAGCACCACCACACTATCAGGCACCATCAGACACACTCACACCATCACACCACCAGACAGCATCAGACACCATCACACCATCACACACCATCAGACACCATCAGACACCATCACACACCATCAGACACCATCACACCATCACACCATTATACCATCATACCATCAGACACCAGACCTGCACCATACGCTGTGAAGGCTGACATCCAGTTGTGCTGAACACACCCACTGTGATGTCGGGATTCGAACCCTCACTGTTCAGCGTCTAGCTGACGTCAGCAGGTGAATCCCTCGGGGCCATGATGGAGAGATAGACGATGACAAATTGATGGATGGCCAGATACACCTTGGCCGTCCGGCCCAGGGCCGCTAATAAAGAAAAACAAACGAGGGCCGACAACCTTCCTGTGGGAACCATTTTAACTGTGGTGGTGTTGGTGGCTTCAAGTCACGTGATGTCGTGAGCTGACTTGTGAAAAGACTGACTTTACTAGCGAGTTAGTTGTGCCGTCAGGCTGCTGGTGGTTAGGTCTGTCTTTACTTGAGTCTCCACCTCATGATGGCCCACTCAAGATGGCCCACACAGGCTGGCCCACACATGGTGGCCCACACATGGTGGCCCACACAAGATGGCCCACACAAGATGGCCCACACAAGATGGCCCACACATGGTGGCCTGTGTTTGACGTCCTCACATTTTAACCTGTTCATGTTGATCTGTCATACACATCTTGACAAAAGGTCAAAAACATTTTGACAAAAGGTCATAAACATCTTGACAAAAGGTCATAAACATTTTGACAAAAGGTCATATCTTTGTTTGATGAAAGGTCCTATAAATGTTTACATTATCTAAATTAAAACTCCATGTAAAATGTACAAAAAAATGTTGCTATTGTTCGCGAAAGGTCATGTTTTTTGTTATTAAAGACCTTACATTATTAACTGTATCAAGTTTGATTTGTTACAATCTTTATGTGAACTTGTTGCCCAATTTTAAACTTGATATTTTAATTGATATTTAAATTGATATTTTAATTGATATTTAACAATATTTTAATTAATACTAGACTACCCGTTATCCTTGGATAACTGTTTCGGGGGGGGGGGTCATCCATAAATGACGCCATGTTTTTTTTACCCCACATTTTAAAAGATATCACACCTCAGAAACGTTTTTGTCTTTTAAAACACCGGCTGAGCACTATCCCTTCATATGAACTCTACTTCATCGCCAAGTTGCGAAAGACAACTTTATCATTTATATCATTATCTAGAAAGAAGTCACACATCAGCTTACAATACTTACATTTTTTGTCTTTTAAAAACGTCGATTTCTTTCGATAATATTTTCTGAGCTCGAACCTCAATTGAAATAAATTATTAAACTGCGTGTTCTATGAAGGAAAAGTAAAACAGAAAATAAACATTGAGATGATGTGTTTCGAACCAGTAGCACCTACATGGTGTCTATTACAGTATCATTTCGACCGTTGGGTGAAAATTAATGTTTCCTCTAAGGGGAAAAAGCTAGTGTGCAACGTGTATTTTGAGTGCGCGGTGTTCTAACAGTCTTATACAAGGATACATTTATTTTACAAAATCACTGCGCGGCAGCTCAAAACTATTGCGCGGCCGCGCAACCGCGCAACTTAGAGGGGAAGTTGGTGAAAATACATTAAGTAATTTTACTTTAAGCGGCGGAAGAAGCTAAAATTACGCGAATATTATTTAAAATTAAATTATATCCTAATGTAGCCAATTCCATTGCCATTTATCTATAGGAAAGAAATTCGATTATTCATTGTGTGTTTACTTTAGATTGACAAGATTCCAAATCTAGAATCTAAATAGAATATACGGAGAAACAAAAATGGCTTAAGTCTAGTTTATCGGCAGCTCTAGATACGTTCATTGTATTAGTAAAGGTATGCAATAGATAATCAAGTGACCCACGCTTTTCTATTTAAATAACTATAAAGAAAAGCGTTGGTCAGTTTAGTATCTATTGAATATCTTTACTAATATTTAGGAAGAGACCCACGCTTTTCTTTATAGTTATTTGAATAGAAGGGTATAATTTATTTTCCACTTTTTAGTGCATTATTATTTAAAGCTTGTTATTAAAACGTTTTTACAAGCTTTTATTTAACTCACTTCCTCTGTCGACTGTCTGTCGTCAGTCGTCAGTCTGGCTAGATCGAAACGCCGGAGTGAAAATTCGGACACTTCTACTTGACCGATACGATTCACAGTTGGCACGTGGGTCAAGACATGAAGACAATGCAATCTGAAATTAAATTTGACTTAATTGGATGCCTAATTAATTTTTTATGAATTAATTAAAATTTGGACCGAATTAGTAGGCATGTCTATCGAACCACACCACAAGCGTCATCACGCTCAATAGCGCGTCATCCCGTTCAATAGGCGCGCAATGGTTTTTAGTCATGTAACACTATTGTAAATAAAACATGTAAAGTCCTGAAAAAAAATCATAAAAAACGTTTTAAATAACAAGCTTTTATGTAATAATGCACTAAAAAGTAGAAAATAAATTATAGACTACTATTTTAATAACTATAAAGAAAAGCGTGGGTTTCTTCCTTAACATTAGTAAAGGTATCCAATAGATACGAAAGTGACCCACGCTTTTCTTTATAGTTATTTAAATAGTAGTCTATAATTTATTTTCTACTTTTTAGTGCATTATTACATAAAAGCTTGTTATTAAAACGTTTTTTATGATTTTTTAAAAAAATTATTTTCAGTACTTTAAATTGTTTATTTGCATGACTAAATACGACTGTGCACCTAATGAACGTGTAACGCGTGTATAACAGTGCGGAATAGTTAGGTAAGACTGCCTACTAATTTGGTCAAAATTTTTATTAATTCATAAAAAATTAATTAAGCATCCAATTAAGTCAAATTTCATGTGAGATTGCATTGTCTTCATGTCTTTGAACCGTATCTGTCAGTAAGAAGTGCCCCAAATTTCGCTCGAGCGTTTCGATCTAGACAGACTGACGACAGACAGAGGAAGTGAGGTAAATAAAAGCTTTTAAAAACGTTTTAATAACAAGCTTTTATGGAAGAATGCACTAAAAAGTAGAAAATTAATTATGCCCTTCTATTTAAATGACTATAAAGAAACGCGTGTGTCTCTTCCTAAATATTAGTAAAGGTATCCAATAGATTGTAAAGTGGCACAAAGGTATCCAATAGATTGTAAAGTGGCACAAAGGTATCCAATAGATTGTAAAGTGGCACAAAGGTATCCAATAGATTGTAAAGTGACCCAAAGGTATCCAATAGATTGTAAAGTGACACAAAGGTATCCAATAGATTGTAAAGTGACCCAAAGGTATCCAATAGATTGTAAAGTGGCACAAAGGTATCCAATAGATTGTAAAGTGGCACAAAGGTATCCAATAGATTGTAAAGTGGCACAAAGGTATCCAATAGATTGTAAAGTGGCACAAAGGTATCCAATAGATTGTAAAGTGGCACAAAGGTATCCAATAGATTGTAAAGTGACCCAAAGGTATCCAATAGATTGTAAAGTGACCCAAAGGTATCCAATAGATTGTAAAGTGACACAAAGGTATCCAATAGATTGTAAAGTGACCCAAAGGTATCCAATAGATTGTAAAGTGACACAAAGGTATCCAATAGATTGTAAAGTGGCACAAAGGTATCTAATAGATTGTAAAGTGGCCCAAAGGTATCCAATAGATTGTAAAGTGGCCCAAAGGTATCCAATAGATTGTAAAGTGACCCAAAGGTATCCAATAGATTGTAAAGTGGCACAAAGGTATCTAATAGATTGTAAAGTGGCCCAAAGGTATCCAATAGATTGTAAAGTGACCCAAAGGTATCCAATAGATTGTAAAGTGGCACAAAGGTATCCAATAGATTGTAAAGTGGCACAAAGGTATCCAATAGATTGTAAAGTGGCACAAAGGTATCCAATAGATTGTAAAGTGGCACAAAGGTATCCAATAGATTGTAAAGTGACCCAAAGGTATCCAATAGATTGTAAAGTGACCCAAAGGTATCCAATAGATTGTAAAGTGACACAAAGGTATCCAATAGATTGTAAAGTGACCCAAAGGTATCCAATAGATTGTAAAGTGACACAAAGGTATCCAATAGATTGTAAAGTGGCACAAAGGTATCTAATAGATTGTAAAGTGGCCCAAAGGTATCCAATAGATTGTAAAGTGGCCCAAAGGTATCCAATAGATTGTAAAGTGACCCAAAGGTATCCAATAGATTGTAAAGTGGCACAAAGGTATCCAATAGATTGTAAAGTGACCCAAAGGTATCCAATAGATTGTAAAGTGACACAAAGGTATCCAATAGATTGTAAAGTGGCACAAAGGTATCCAATAGATTGTAAAGTGGCACAAAGGTATCCAATAGATTGTAAAGTGGCACAAAGGTATCCAATAGATTGTAAAGTGGCACAAAGGTATCTAATAGATTGTAAAGTGACCCAAAGGTATCCAATAGATTGTAAAGTGGCACAAAGGTATCTAATAGATTGTAAAGTGGCACAAAGGTATCCAATAGATTGTAAAGTGGCCCAAGTGGCCAAAAGATGTCTGTGGCCAACCTGGCATGTGACTGGGTGTTTCTGTCGTTGGTTATTTCCTCCACATGAAGTGATACGCTACATTACACACCCAAACCTTCCCACGTCTAAACATATTTGGTTAAAGTTCGTTTTCATGTGTCCTGGTATTTTTAGTAAGCGTGTTGAAAAATTTGGTGACTCCTGTAGTATGGTGACCTTGAACTTAAAACAAATTAAGACCATCTTTTGTCACCGCTAGGTGGTAATAACAGTAAAAAAATATCTTCAAATGTGAGCTATTTTTAGCAGCGAGAAAAATGTGTCAGTTAATACGGCACGCCCTAAGCCGTTCTTATTATCATTCTGCAGGCATTTACGTCACATACGTCACATACTGCAGTTTAAGACGTTATGTACAGGAAGTTGCAGAGACGTCATATTCAACACTTGTAGAGACGTCGCGTTTTTAATTAGAATCGCTAAGAAAAATTAATTGCGGACCAAAGGAGCGCAAAATTAGTGCTTTATAATGGAAATATTGATAACTTTTTAGCCGAAAGTGCTACTTCTGGTCACCGGAAATCAGTGGAAATCTGACAGCAACCAGCGAATACGATCATATAGCTACGTATAAAATTTTATCCGGCTAACTGAAACGGTACTTAAGTTATTGGTATTTTAGAAACCGGAAATAGAATTTCTCCCAGATGTCGGAGGTCACTCAAAACGAAAGTGGTTGAAGTAAAAGCTCCAATACTAATGTAAGAAATGTCATCTTGACTTACTTGACTTGACTTAGTCCTCTTTGCTCCTTATGGAGCATAGGGCCTCCACCATTTCCTTCCATTTCTTCCTATCCCCGGCTATTAATTTTGTCATCTCCCAAGACATCCCTGTTGTAAATGTCATCTATCTGACTGAAAGAGTACTCAAGCAATCTTCTTCTCACCTAAATAAAGTACCACTTCCGGTTACCGGAAATCGTTCAAATGTTCTCAGAAACTTGTACATACAGTTTAATTCCAATATCGTCAATAGAACAAAAACCAGGGGCGGAGCTAACATGCAGGGGGGAGGGGGGGAGGGCAGTCCGCTTTCGATAAAGTGAGGAGGTCAAAAATGGCGAAAACTATTAAACCTTTTTACTTTCTCGTATATACGAAGTATAGAGAAAGTATTGTAATCGTGCACAAAAATCATTTGAAATTTTAACAATTTTCACCGTATTACACCTCAGTCCTTCATCACATCCGAAGTATAGAGGACTTATTTTAATCGGGCAAAAATTATCAATCCAGATTTATCAAAATTAAGAGGTTTTATGCGTAATCCAGTCTGAAAAACTGGACTTTGCAAT